ATGTTGTAGAAATAAAGCAAACTTAGCTTCAACGTGCAATGGTTCTGGAACATCTAACTGATCCAGAGCAGAGGGCTCTCAGCACAACAGCCTCAAAAACTCTGATGAAGGTAGGAGACAGCTACCAAGCAACTCACACGTATTTTTGGGGAATTAATGTGTGAGCTGGTAAATACAGAGCAGTCTCCAACTCAGGGCATGGAGTGCAAGGGACTCCAGCTACAGGACATTCTTCAGAACGTGCTCCTTAAATCTTCACCTGCTCGGCTGTTCCCAGGGAGAGGGAAATTCATCTGGAGGACTAAAGCAATTCAGCCAGAAAAGACAGCAGGAGAACATGCTCACCGTTGATGACCGGAGTGAACACCGCCATCCCGGCGAAGTTGGGATCGGACACGGTCTTATCCAGGATCAGCCCCCCGACACTGGAGAGGGCAAACAAACAGGCGGCAGTCAGAGGCCTGGCACAGCACAAATACCTGGCGTTTCAGCTTCAGAAGTCAGAAATGCTGGTTAAGAACATAGGAAGCAGCTATTTTAATACCTAGATAAAGTGCAAATTATTTGAAAGAACACAAGATAACTCCTTACATCGAAGGTTAAGAATAGTGGTCCTGAATAAGCCCCCACGCTATTGAAACTGATCACCTGGGATCCTTTTAGAACAGGCTGGATGAGATTCTGTGACATATTAGCTACTCATAACCAGGTGCTTTATCCATAATGCAAACTGCATTTGTTTTTAGATATTTTACTTATTAAACATTGTGAGCATGTTTTACTTTACTGTTCTTCTATACAGTGACTCTGCCTTAAAGTACCATGACTATGTGGAGATGTTTTGAGATGGTGCTTGAATTTTTTTTCAAGACTTTGTGCCCATTTCCTTGCTTTCTACATGGGGTATTGTACAATGTGCTTTGTACATGGGTCACCTGCACGGCTGGGGGTGAGGCTGCCTGGTTACCTGCTTATCGCCATGGCGATAATGACGGGCTCCCAGCCCGAGTACAGCACCTCGCGGGTGGAGGGGATGCGGCGTGCGATGACGATCCACAGGGGGGTCAGCGCCACAAAGAAGGCACACACCAGGGGATTGGTGTAGTCATTCAGCTCTGCAACCACATAGCACAGCCTGTGAGCCCAACCCACGGGGAGACAGAGGCAGCATATGGCCATTGTATTGCCTGGAGGGGGGAGGGGGTTATATCCACTGGGCCTGGGACCTCCAGAGGTTTCTTCACTGGGAGTTTTTGCTTACCTCTCCTCTGTGCCCAATGGTCAACTGTTGTCAGGTACAGCTAGACTGTTAACGGCTATAGACATCTGTAAAGACCTCAGTGACCAAAGCGTATGGTCAGACAGGCCATATTGAGAGGATGGTGGGGTACACCTCTCCCACCCCCCATCCAGGCTACACTGTTGTCTTCTGAAATTAATAAACATGTTGACGTTTTTCTTCTTTAGGTGGTGGAGATGCCAGCAGACTAGACTGCTAGGACCCTTACAGCCTCCCACCAGCTTCTGGTACTGTGAGCCCCAAGGCGTCTGCAACTACATTAGTATCACAGGGGGAGCTTGGGGGTGTGTTTGCAACATGGGGCAGGATGATGCAAGACAAGGAGCACCTCTACACGCCCTGTGTGTTATTTAATGCATGGTGGACTGCCGCCTGGAGGGCCCTGGTGTGGTTCTTCTGAGAATTCAACTAGTGAGACTCTTTGAACAAACACCAGGATGCTTCAGGCTCCTGTATGAGACGGGCAGGTGTGACCATGTAGATGAACAAGCACCTCTGCAGTGCAATTCTTAAACCTTAAACTTTCATCAACTGAGCACACCTGACAAATTATGCAGGATGCTCAAAGTCCTGCTCCTTCTGCTTGACACAAAAGCCCTCTTTGTTGTGGATGAAGGACTGTTTAAGAGAGTCCAGAAATTCTGTTTGAACAATTGTCCTCTTTGTGAAAAAATGCCTAACTCCCCCTCCCCCTTCCCCAGCAAAACAACATTCAGAATGCCCACAAAAATCGGATAAAGAGTTTCTACACCATTCCCGTTCACTGTGATGACTTTAGAAAGCCGCTTTAGGTTTGTCTTGGGAAACAAAGCAGCGATGATAGTTTGAATGAAAAGATTGCATCATTAAAAAAAGGCTGGCACTATTCCAGCATCTGCAGCACCTGCAGCACACAGCCCCTAGGAAAGCATTCCGGCTAGCGAATCGATAGCAGCTCAGCACACGTGATGCCATCACTGCCACGGTGTACTTGCAGAGCCGATAAGAAGCCTTTGCAACAGAAACTAGCTGCATGAGTTTATTACACAAAGCTGCAGTACCTTCACCCACTCCCTCTTTATTCCCAGAGTCCATTCAAAGCAAAGGCAAGCACATCTCCCCCAGCTCTCCCAGGGATCCGCTCGAATGCAATCCAAAAGCTGCAGATCCATGGCAACAAATAATTCACTGCAGAGCCCAGGCACTGCTTAGCAAACCCTCTGAGCTGCCTGTGAGCTAAGGCACCGAATCTCACTCTTCTGCTCTCTGATCACAGGCAATGCCCCACAGAGGTCTTCTCAGCATAATCTCTCGATTACTAGAGCAACATCAGGCTATGCTGCTCAAAAAAGTTGGGAAGCAGCAGGGCGCTCGTCCTGTGCCCGTCAGCAGTCCCCTTCTTATCTTATTCTTTTTATTGAGCCGTGACGGACAGGAATACTGTCCACCAGCAAACCAGAAAATCCAGATATTCATTTCTGCATATAAGCCAATGGCTGGTTTCCTGTCAATATGAAAAGCAGATTGAAATGAAACATAAATGAGTGTGTGACATGTATGACCTCTCATTAGTGTTTTCAAAACTTTGGTCCAACTGGGTGTAAACGTCATTGCAGACGCTCTGCACCAAGTAGAAACATGGCACGTGTTACAGGACATGTTGATTGCACAATTCCACTGACCATGTTCAGGTGTACAAAGGGCAGCCGAGGTCTTACCTAGCTGTTGGTACAGGCCCGTGCTGATGCTAGCCAGGAGCGCCAGCGTAATAAGGTCGCCCAGGCTAGCCGCGATGGGTGTTGCAACATTGTCCGGGTTTATGCCTATCTTCCTAGAGCCAATGATCACTCCAATCATGATCAGACCTGCCCAGAAAGAATTCAGAATTTCTCATAAAAAAAATGCATTGCTTTATCAGTACTATTTGCACAAGAGCATACAATCTGTAAAACCTGAAATGGACCAAACTGCTGTGCAATGGGATTCTTGCTGTTGTACCCTTTTCTTTGAGCCCATTAAAAGATTTGATTCAGAAAGCAGCTGGCAGAATCAAATCAACTTTGACTCATGGCATGTAAAAATCCTATAAAGTGCAGGGAATTAAAGACTCCAAAATAATGCGATACCTGCCCACACATCTATGTTTGTCAGCTACACAAGGCCCTGGAAAAGGACCTCTTCTAGAGCAAAAAAGTTGATACACATTTCTGGGTTAAGTCAATAAAGTATTTTGTGGAGCTGTTAGAAGCAGAACGTGTGTATCGTGTGATCTTGTACCTATTTGAACCCTTACCCAGCAGGAGGGAGGCGATGAAGGCTGTGGCCACACTGCTGGCACACAGCAGTATTGCATGGCCAATCTTGAAATGCCCCTCTGGGATCCAGCCAAAGATGACGGCAGCAATGGAGGCCAGGAATCCCACTACCGTGGCCTGAACCTACACCGGAGACGGGAGAGAACGTTCCTCTTCAGTGTTAATTACTGCTGTTATCTGTTATATGCCTTCAATCAGTTCAAAAACCCAGTATGACAGAGTGGCTTAGGAAAAGGAATACAGTACAGCAGTAAAATCAATATTACTACATCAAGAGTTGTAGTCTAGTAAGTATGTTCTTTGTGAATTAACGAAAATGTGAGCAGGAAAACTCCTGTGATGAATGAGTGTACTCAATAAGCCTGGAAGGGATGTCATTGATGAATAAGCACAGTTCTGACAACAGATAACCCTTCAGCCCACAAGGAGCAGAGTTACCTTAAACACATTTCTTGTTAGACTGCTCAAAAACTTACAAGTATACTAGTCTTTATGAAAATGCAATTTAGGGTAACCTTAAAGCATTGCTAGACTAGGGCTCTCTTGGTTCAGGAATCTAAAGGCTGTATATACCTTCTTGAGCGTCTTCAGGAAGTTAAATTGCTAGCAGCGAATCTTAAGGGAAAATGTCCGCAGAGTATCAGGTGCATGATTTACAACGGTTGTTCTCACCTGAATAAGAGCCAAGTTTCCTATGATCATTTTCCACATTTCCTTGGCAGTGTCCATCTGCCCAATGTTGGCCTGAAGAACAAGGAATCAAGAAATTACTTTACTCCCAGTGGAATTCTGGGAATGTTTGCCATATACTACAGTATGTAATGAATAGGTTTGTTGATGACATCCTGTCGGGTCAATCTGAAAAAACATAATGAATAAGAAAAAAAAGGTTCAAGGATAAAGAAAAGCAACACATTTTGCCTTCATCTTTCTTCACCTTTCCAGCAGTCAAGTGCTGTCAAGGGCTCTCACATCACAAAGACAAACTTGATTGTGTCGGCTTGTTTTGTTGTGGAAAGATGATCTGAGCCCTTGAGCCAGAAATTTTCTATTTGATTGCTATCTTAAACAAAAAGGTTTTGATCTTCAAATAAAACCCCTACGGCTATCATTGTCAACATATATTTAAGTCCTCAGCTAACCTCAGCTCACTGTCTGTTAATTACAACCTCCAAGCACAGACCCTGCAGGCAGTTTGAAGAGGACTCCTGCATCACTGGATCCACACAGCTTTCATTGAAAAGACCTGGTCCTCATACATATAATTAAGGGTCAGGGGCTGAGAGCAGGGTATCGGCTTACTAATAAGTCTATGCTAATTGTCACACTGCAAAGGAAGATCAAAAGGCATGAATGTTTTTTGAGGATTTCTAAACTCAATAACTGAAAGGCCAGCGAGCTTCACTGGACGTGAAGAGACGTCGCTGCTCTGTGTGTTAAAGTCAGCGCAAGGCAGCTCTCCCTCTCTCCCTTTCTTTGTCATTCTGTCTCTCAGTGTTGCTGTGTCATCCGTCTCCCCATTTCCTCACTCAGCAGCAGCTTGTTACTGAGAGGGCCTCACCGTGCTGCTTTGCTCTTAATCAATGTTTAACCCAAAGCCTGGGACATTGACAGGTGTTCTGCCAAACCACTGCTAATAATTAGGTTTAAACACCTTTAAAAGCCTCTGGCACTTCAGGAAGCTGCTCTGAACGTGTGTTACTGCTGCTAACGCAGTGCGCTGATTGGCTGTTACAACATCCAACTTAATGAAAAAAAAAACATTTTCAGCAACGGTGCTGCAAAACTCCTGACCCTCAGCTCAGCTGCTCAAAATAAAAGGTCATAGAACAAGGAGTATTAGGAAAAATAAATACAGATCATGCTTCGGAACTGCAGGGGTTAAATTACGCCCAACTATGAACAGTTGGAGGCATTGCAGAGTGCCAGCTTTGTGTTGGCTGAGGGTTTAGAACCAGGTGCCCCTGATCTGGTCACAGTAACCTGACAGCATGTATTGGCAACACACAGGGGGGAAGTTCTCCAAATCTACCCACTGCACGCTCGTCTGGAGGGAGATAAGAGGGTAAGTGCGGATGCAGATAAAAGGTCTGAGCCAGCCCTACTGCATACTGAGAGAAACTCGGATGAAACTGAAAAAGTGGGAGGCAAAAAAAAAAATAGGCTTCTTTATTCGTTATGTTTTCACCCAAAAACATTTCAAGGAAAATTCACTTCAGTTCTCAAGAGCGCATTAACAGTTTATGAGTCACACAGCCTTAGCCTAGCATTTAAAAGGCTGCAGAAATCGTGTGCAACAGTAACAAGGATCCACTGGAGTCTAACTTAGAGAAAAGACTAAAGCTATGAATGTTACATCTACAAAGATTTAAACATAACCAGAACTATAAATGTCACTGTCTGAATCCTTCACCTCTTTCTGGAATCAAATCAAATCAGAACCACATGTATTTATGAAATTAAACTTTTTAGAACTGACGAATGCATAGAAAACCTGCCTTACCGAGACACCGCAATATGATCTAAATTGAGGGCGTAACCTTTCACATAGTAAAGTAGGTTCGTATTTGTCTACTTGAGAAGGAGAATTTTCTAATTTGTCGCCTTCTCCTTCACCTTAACCTTGCTCAAGAAATACTTCTTTCTACAATATCAAGAGCACAAAATGACACCCGCTGGGGAAAAAAAGCTACCACTGGCCACCACTTCAGTGTAAAAGAAAAAAAAAATCTTTCACTACTGCGGCAAATCTGACCTTGAACGAATAACCCGTTTTCTTAAAAGAAAACTTCAAATAATGCAGTCATGTGCATTCATTCTGCTTAATCTTTTCTTAGTTGGCATCGGATTAGATTTTTTTTCATCACAGCTTGCAACTTTAATTGTGGTTAATCTTCAGATAATTAGCAGGAGGGATAATCACAAAGTGTGGCACGGAGTGCACGCCAGGCCTGTACCCTGTAGAAAGTCAGACCACTCGCATCCGAATCCAAATCCGAAACCTCGGACCCGCATGAGTCACGGGGCCAAACGAGTTGAACTTGCCGTGCCTGGGGACATTACTCAAGGAGCAAGCAGACGCGGGGCAGGAGGAGACGTAGGGGGCGGCCGGCGTCTGGTGTTTTACTCACTGCGGTGGAGAGCCGGGAAGCCAGAGTCATTTCCAGATTCCCCTTGAGCCCCAGGAGGGCAGGAACTAGAATAAACACCTCCGTCACCTCCTTGAACACCGTCCAGTGCTGCAAACACAGAAACAAAGAACAATGTGGTGACTGAACGGGGCCCGCCGGCTCCATCTCCGGACCCGGCACAGCCTCCTGGCAGGGGGCGCTGGTACGAGGAACAGACCCCCGTCATCTGGGTACGAAGCTGCCACAGAGCAGAACTTTCAATTCATTCCATTGCAAGGTCCCGGAATAACCAAACCTCTCAAATAATCAGCTGGAAATGCTTGATAATTAATGCAGCTGTACAGTGAGCACCCGCAGTGGGAGGGGTAAGGGTGTCAAGGATTTGATATCCTCTGTTATATTAGTAATAATGAATAACCTCATGACGTTTCAATACCGATTTTAATTCCAAAGAGCTTGAAATATAGTTGAGCCACTGCGGAAGATCTTCGGTGATGCACAGCAGCCCCACTACACAGCAGATCAGGTGGGAACTAAGAACTTCCTGTGCTAAATGATCTAAAAGGGAGATTTAGGTGGGCTACTCTGTACAAGCCAAGAGTGGAATGTAGAAGAACTCTGTTATGGCAACCCTACTCTTACAAACAATGCCATGGGAACACTAATAACCAAGTTACCAGGACCTTGGTTTAGACATTGTGGTTCAGAAGTAGGAGCGCCACCTACTGGTCCACCAACACCACATACAGGATCTACCTGGTTTACCATTAAAGTCTCCCCCCTCAGTACAGACAAGGCCCATGCTTAATCAGCTTCTAAAATCTCACACGTTCAGGCCAGAAGGTGGTAAAGACATTGCAGTAGACCAAGAAGGGGATGATGACTAATGTCTTGACAGGGGTAGATCTCTGTTGAGACAAGTCTCTTATGCCTTGAAAACCTTTGCATAGACTAATGATGCATATCTTTCACTTTTGACAGTGACCAGATGGTACAATACATCTCAAGATCAATGTATTGTCTCAGTGTTCTGTTAGACCAGGGGTCACCAACCTTGCAGACCCTCAATCCAATTAGTTTTATGGGTAACCAGTTTTTGAAAGATGTGCAAGACCTGTAAACTACTGATGAATGAAGAAAGTTAACTGTCCAATTAAGAAAACTCTGGTTTTTGAGAGCTGAAGAGCACTGATTTAAGGCTTAATTGAAACCTACATTAGTTAAATTACTTTAAATTAATTACTTGCTTATGTAGTCTCAGTTGCTGCTCCAAGTCATTAGAAACCTGTGATTGGATTAAGGCTCCCCAGGACCAGGGTTAGAGACCCCTGGCAGACTGAGGCTGGACTGATATCACACTTGTTACACTAGAGTGACTTAAGAGAGGCATTCTGATTGCGTTGCTCTTTGTACAAGTACACAAACTTGTTTCAGAGCTCTAGAACTCACAACAGCATCAGGTCTTTCCGGCTGAGAGTCATGCAGTACAACTGTATACACATCGGCCCTAAAGTGACTAATCTTATTTGCTTTAAAACAAACCAGCAGATTTGCAGATACAGGTATGTCACATTGTGATAAACACTGAAGCCTGATATGTCAGTACCGGTTTCTGCTTGGAAGTACTGTTTTAAACAACCATCACCTTTCACTGCTGAAATGTGAAACCATAAAAAGAAGATGTACAGTATAAACACAAACAGCAGCCCTTCCAATATTAGCGCTTCGATTGTGCACGGCAGATTGAAGGCCATACACTGAGAACAAAGCCCCACTTAATGCGGTGGCACTAGAAAGCACATGAATTACCATGAGGAGCAATGCCAGCGGGGGGCCTGAGAGGTGCCAAGCTTGTGTACCACGTTTCAGGGGGTCTTCAGGAGCAGCGTGTGACTGCCTGTGAAGATCTGATCATGAGGCTTCTCCGAGACAGGCACGAGGCCGGCCCTCAAGGGCACACGGCTGAACTCTCGCCCGCCTGCCTGCTCGCGCAGCACGGTCCCTGCCCAAGGACTCCCGCTCACAGTGCTAGGACTGACCGCATCCCTGCCCGAAGCCCCCCGTGTGTCTGTGCCCACTGGTCTGACACAGGCCACTGAGCAGACATCTTGTGCTGTCAGCAACAGAGAACTCCTGCATAGAAACCAAGGAAATAACAGTCCCAAACTCACAGCACTTTAAAAAAAACGCAGAGCTTTAAAATGGCAACAGTTGAGGAAACCGCCTCAGGGATACCATGTAATTTTTACAACATCTCCTGTCACTGGAATCCATCTTGAAATCCTCAGACCCTTGCTCATACTATTTGCCCTTGGTATACAGGATATGATTTATTAGACAAAAGTGTTGGTTGGACAAAAATAATCTGCTCTCTGAAAAAACTTCAGATGCGTTTGTTTTGAAAAACGGCAAAAGTTATTTTTTCAGAAAGCAACAGCATTACCAGATTGAAACCTAGACAAACAGGCCAGGAATATATATTCTTGGGAGACCACAAAAAACAAAACGTATTCTTCCAAAACGAGGAATTAGGCGCACTGTTGGATGACCACAGTGCCAGATGAATTTATCTGCGACACAGACAGGGAGCAGGCAAAACACCAAGAAATGTACAGTATGAAATGAGCACAACTGGCAACAGCACAGGAGTATAAACTTACAGCATGCTTGTACGAAACCATGCCTCAATTACAAAAAATACTTGAAAGTGGTACAAGGATATGACATTGCATACAACGTGGATTTTACAGTTTTTTTATTAACTCAACTCAATAAACTAATGAGTAATAACTGCAATGGAAGATTACAAAACATTTTTCTTTACATGAAGATGACACGGCTACAATCACAATCCCTCTGAATGCTCAGGGACGTGACAATTTACAGACAGGTCCAGCATGCTTAGTGCAGAGATGTCTGGCCCTAGCTCCAGTGCCTGTGATCTACGACACTGGACGGTACAGCAGCGTACCATGAGGGTGATCACCAGTCACCAATCCCAGAATTCCACACACAGCTCCCAGCTACATATCAGGTTTCCAAGTTGTGTAACACAGCCAGCTTGAGCAGGCTGTTTGCTAACTACAGCATATATGGGCACGGGCCAGGGCAGGAATTACAAGACGGCCAGTAAAAAGGTGTGTCCTTTACCATTAATTACATTAAATGCAAAATTCCCAAAAGCATTTTAAGCCCCTTTTCCAGGCAGAACATGAGGAACATAAGCCTGAACACAACCCGAAAACTAACAGACTCAGTCATAGATTTCTTAAATTAAATTTAGTAAAAAAAAAAAAGAAAATTGGTTAGTTCTCAAAGACCACTGTTCATGTAACTCCACAAATAAATTACAGTATACTGTAATCAAATATTTTGAATCCTAAAAAATGGGCGATTTGGGGTGAACTATACAGCAAATCAGAATTACTTGAGGATATAGCGAAAATAGCCATTTTGACTTCACTGTTCCAACATGTATGGAGGGCACTGTATGCCCAGAATGCCTTCCACTGATTTCTGAGGATGTTATAGTAACAAATGATGTTTATTGCTTGGTGATTGTTAAGAGCCCCTTATCCATAATGAAGGCTGATTGAATAGCCCATTGTTTTAAAGTGCTATCACAGTATTGATCTGGAAGCCACTGTGATGGGCCTGATGTGTTGGGACAGTCACAGTCACTCTAGCTGTTATGGCAATGAACCGATTCACAAAATAAAAACAAAAGTAAAATGGGCACTTCGACTTCAGCAGCAGGTCATAGTGTCTTGGGTTAGGTTTTGGCTGATTTAGCCTCTCCAGACTCTGGACCTCCTCATTTTCCAGGAATAAAAATGACCCCGTCTGGAAATTCCTAACCGGATGCACAGCCCGACGGCTCAGGGCGGACGATGTGAGACTGAGCCGGGACTCAGTAGGAGGCAGAACAGGCCCTCGCTGTGCTAGATGGGGGAGAGGAGCTGTGTCACTTGAGTTCAGACACAGCGTCTGTCCCTCTCTCCTCATCGCAGCGGTGGCCATAATGATGTACTGGGTACTGGATGTGGTGAACCAAGAATTCCTTCCGCGGGGGAGAAAATCACTCTGTTTACAGGTTATTTTCCTCTTGAATGTGTAAGCACTTGCACTTTCTCTTCCTGCCCCTGGAACAGCCAAGATCAGTCTTTTGTTGTTTTTTTTTTTGTTTAAATCACAAAAGCCAGGGAAACATGATACATTTATTAGTGGGAAATCTCTTGTGTACTTGAGAAGCTCGTTTCCCAGCATGCCTCACCGCGGAGTCAGGGCATGGCCACTCTGCAGCGATCCAGAGCACAATAAAAGGAGCGTGAACATTGCCTTGGGTGGGTAATTGTTACAAAAGTACAAAAACATTTAGTCCACAGACCTCTTCTATTAATTTTCTTCAGTGGACTTAATCTGTGAATAGGAAGCAGTAATAGCTTAGCATTTTGGAGGACTACCTTTTCAAAGTGTATACATGTGTAACTCTTATACAAATTTTTTCATGCATACACCCACATACATCTTCACGAGGATAATACAGATATTGAACTGTAATGTGCCCTTGGTGACGTTGGAGATATTTAGTGTTGCTTTTTAAATAGGGATCCAGAACCCAGAACATGTATAAAGGAAAAAAAAGGTTTTGAAAATCTTAGCCTTTATGGAACATTCTTTGTAGCATCTTAATTAGTAAGTAATGAACAAAGTAGAAAGTAACAAACTGTACTTTGCGCAAAACTATTTTCCACACAAACAATTCCGCAAGAACAATCTCAGGCGAAGGGAAAAGGGAAGGAGAGGCTTCAGGGGCTGAAGACACAGATGGTTTAAGAAATAACAGTTGTGTCAAAGTTCGTTTTTTAGTTATTCAATATCACATTATGACAAATGTAAATCAAAACAACAGGAATCAGTAAACTGGTCTGTTCCCATTAGCTGGCTGAAATGGCAGTGTTTCCTTGAAAAGTGGCCATGGCCGAGGTCTTGCAGCACAGAGCACGGCTCCGTTCAGTACCCCACATGACACAATCAACACCCAGCTCTCAGCCTTGCTTAAACATTCCCTGTGCTGTGCACAAAGACCTAAGGCACCCCTCTGTGCGTGCCTGTTTGTTCATTATCATCAACATTGTTCTTAAGGAGCTTCTGAAAATCCATCCCTTCCTAAGCTGGCAGAGTTTCATCATCAGTATTATAATCCTGCCTACAAGGACACAGGTGAACTAAACTCCTATTTGACTGCTCCCTGGATAATGGAGTTAGCAGCATTCCTTCCACTGCATGCTAAGAAAGCAAAACAGGTATTTCAATGGACAGCATGGGTTCTTCATCTTCTCTAGCAAAGGAACCAAAACGGCAATCTCATTGCCTTCTTGTCACCTGTTCTTCTGGTGTTGGGGCGTCTACCCTGAAAACTGCAGTACTCTGCAGATGGCATGCACTCCATAATACGTTACAGCCAGGAAAAGCAGTCTGACAATTAATCTCTGCCCCATTCAGCAACACTTGGCAAGGGTGTTAAAAATGCACTTTGGGTCACTATGCTAGGTTTCAGAGTTCATGGTTTCCAGAACTAAACACAAAGCACAAAACTGTTGGAAAGGGAACCAGAAAAGGAGCAGTATGTAATTAAAATCAGCCTACTGTAACTTATTCACCCTTCAATAAAGGAACCAAAATATTAGCCTACCAGAGGCCCTTAGTGACGTATGAAGTATTTATTGTTGCTTTTTAAATATATATATACACAGACTTCTTCTACAAGGAAGGAAAAAATGAATATTAAAAATATTAAAAAGTTATGGATCTTTCTAGTAACATAATTAGTCATTAATAAATGATCTCTAATTTATTAAAACCTTATTTTACAGAAAACTATTTTCCACTCAGACAACTCCACAGGAACAAGTGAAGGAAACAGCTGAAGGACAAAGAGAAGCAGAGGTTTCAGGAGCTAAAGACATAGAAGGTCTAAGAAATGACAGTTGCCTCTTCAGTGAGACTCCAAACCTTAGGCAACTTGTGTCAAAGCGTGCTTTTAGTAATTCGAGGTCACATTATGACAAATAAAATTGAAACAACAGGAGAATTAGGGCACCAGTGTGTGCCAGTCAGCCCCCTAAAACGTCAGTGTTTCCTTGAAACCAGACACTCCAAACTCGATCCGACTGTAGGAAAGACTGACCTTAGAAATAAATGACCTGCCACCGATGCAGGGGCTGTTATTTTTAAACCAGCTGGGCACACACACTTACGCATGCACCCTGCACAAAGTAGAAAGCCATTTTGAAAAAGGACACAACCTGCAACTATTAGGTTTGGTTTTCATTGTTATCAAATTGCATCTTGTAAAACTAATTAAAAGCTGCCTGTTAACCTTCAGGTGTTATTTTTTCTCTTTCAAACCAATTACAGAAATTCCACACAGACTTTTTTTCCCCTCCCAAAGCACGCTAGGTTTTCCAGAGCTAATGAAAGAGCACCTTAGTTGACTTTAAACTAAGAAGTGCTCTATAACAGTCGAGCAGGCAGCACTGGGGGCAACAGCAGAGGGGTCACAGACAGAGATAAGGGTCTTGTTTAAGAGGAACAGGGGCTTTTTTTTTCCTTCTCCTTCTTGGTCCTTGGGTCTTGGACCAGGACCACACCCCCTTCCAATGACATCAGAGCCAGCAGCTCCACTAGCATTGGCCCCAAGGACATTAACAGGAAGAAAAGGTCATCCCCTCTCACTACCCGTCAGCTTCTAAAAGTGGATGCTGGCCAGCAGGGCTCAACACTTGCTACAGGACACGTGTGTACATGGAACCCTGTCGCATCAAAACGAGCGTCTGAGGCACAGATTCCAGCACCCATGTGAGAAACCACCGTTCACAAAACAGAACCAACACTAACAACTCCAGGTGCTTCATGAGGGATCATGAGACAGGGGGCCTGGTTCATGGGTAATTAACGCCCCAGGACAGCAAGTTCCGTGGGAAAGCAGGCCAAATCTCCTATTTTTGGCAGTTTGTAAGATGATGCTCTAGATCTGTAAATCATTATGCTTTGAGAGTTTCTGGGCTGGGGGAAAAGGATGGGAAAAACAGATTCCCTGTGATCTCTGCTTGGGAACAACATGGCAAAATGCACGGAAGTGAGGAATGCCAAAAACAAATTACTTTCCAGATCCAAAGGACACGGCTTTCTAAATACAGACATTCCTACACTACTACATATCTACTGTATGTGTACAACCTGCAGACTGACAAGGTGACTTGAAATACTTCCCACTCCAACGCAAAATTTGAGCTTTGAGTACATTACATTCACAACATGGGGAATGAGGAAAATTCATGCTGTAAGAGAATGTACAGTATAGAGAATTGTTGATACTTGCCAGGAATATGCCTATATCCTGCAACATTTCTGAGACTTTTTGAAGAGAAGCAGCTATTTAGTTCAGCATAACTGGATGACGTTGGTTACTTTAAGGTTGGGAAATTATTCAGTGAATTTTGTAAAATTGAAAAGCTCTATTCACAGAATTGTGGATCGTTGAGGATTTGGGTACCAGACCTTAAAGCATGTATTCCAATTACTGTAGATTACAACTGAGTGATCGAGAGCTTTAAACTGTTTTCTTAGATATGATACCCATTCTGTACACTGATACCATCACCTTATCTCCCTTTGTTAAGCAAGAAGAAGACATTCCACTCATTTGGCATCAATGAGTCGTAATTTATCAGAGATGGGTACCTTTCAAGCTTTAGGACATGAGCCAGTAAATGAAATTGGTCCATTATGGTAACTTGACTCTAAATAGAATAACAATTATTGCATTATTCAAAATTGCACACAGCCCTAGGGGAAGGGCGGATCACCAGTGAGCAGTTTGATATCATTCCAGGCTCTTCTCCTAACCATGATAGAGCAATCTGCTAGTAAAAGCCCTGTGTTCATCTCTTATCTGGATTTACCCCAGTCTGTGGTGTGACAGCAGTCAGCTAAAGACGTAGCCTGTAGCCATGGGGCTGTGGAGTTTTGGCATCCCAACAACACATCAAAACTCAATGCCAATTCTTGCAGAGCTTTGCGATATTTAGGGTGACCACATAAAGAAAGTCAAGTGTATGCATGTTCAGAGTTCCCCCTTATTCCTTCCAGGCAATAACTACTGTACTGCTGATAGTTTACAAACGTATAACTAGAAGACACAGTCCCGTTTAACTGCAACACACATACAAGTTCATTATTCTGTCTTTATGCACACTGTTAATGTACGATAAACTCGTGTCTCCTTAAGCCGCAGGGCGTCACTGGGTTCCGAATGGCTGCGTGACCGCAGCTCCCGCGGCGCAAAGCTCACTCACCTGCACGATGTCCAGGACCATGCCGGCGGCTACTGTTCCGAACCCCGCCAGCAGGAAGGGGAACAGGACCTGCAGCCCGATGGAGAAGGACGTCTCCTTCAGCGGCGCCGCGGGCATGGGGCTTTGGTCGGCGCTGATGTCGCTCTCGTTGCTCTGGCTGGCGTTCTCCAAGAGCGCGTCCTCCTCCCTCTGCCCCTTGGCGTTGGCCCGGCAGTCGATCACCACTACTTCGGCCCTGTCGCGGTCAGGCTCGGCTCGGTCCGAAAAGGCCGGGACCTCCGTCAGCTCGCAGACCCCAGCTTCTAGCCGAAGCTCCTCTTGGCTGTCGGGCCGTATGACCGGATGCACTGTCCCATTCGCGTGGTGGAAAACGGGAAGAGACGCTTCTTTTTTGGATTCTCCAGCGACGGTGGACATTTTTGATTGTTTTTCTTGAGCCTCCGACCAAAGTTCCATACGGTTACTCCAGGAAATATATTAATTATTTAGATGAACAGGCGAAGCAACGAGTCTCTTCCCAGCTTGCTTTTCCTCCAAATTTGTGACGCTTTAAATTAATTTATCCCATTAAAGAACTTAAATATGTTCATACTATATATTACAAAATGATTTATCCTTAAATATTTCGAAAAGTACTAAAATATGTATTTTTAGGCGCTTAAAACGAAGACAGGTGTTCTTCTCTTCTCTTCTCTTTCAAGTGTAACTTTGGCTTGCGGACCACACAGGTAACAATCTCCATCAAACAAAGCACCTCTTTTTTTCTTCCAGAAACGGGGAAGTTAAAAATGACTATTCTGCAAATTTAGTTTTATTTCACTCAAATGAAAAACTAAAGCCTGTTGAACTTTTTAACCTTCAGTGCAGAAGTTTACAATTTTCACAGACTTTCCATTATAATGACGAAACCTAATTTTGAAACGAGCTCGTAGGGGTTACATTTCTTGGAAGAAATGTAAATTTGTACACTGGCTGATCCTCCCACAAATAGGAACTTTACGATGGCTGTAATCGCTGAATTCCTGGTTGAATGGCCTTTTTCTTCGGTTTTCGTTCAGATGTCACACCAACGTCAGCGCCAGTTCCTCAGCGCTCAGAGCTGTGTTTCCACTTTCAAAACCAGCTTGCAAGGCCGTCTCAGGGCATAGAATCGTCTCACCTTTCAACACGTGGCAGGATTTTTTTTTTTATATTTAAAGGTCTATGAAACGTGGATAGCAGGTCTTTGCCTGGATAAATTCAGATTTTATCCTCCCGGTTACCTAGAAATACAGAAGGGACGCGTATGTACGTTACTGCAAATTAAAACTGACACCATTGCGTTCAGATCTTTATAACTGCAAATCATTTACTGTATTTGTTTTTCGATGTATTATTTTAGGAACTGCTGTGTAGATCGCGACATAATTACATGATAAAATAAGGACCCACGGGACGAGAAAAGACGAAAATATTCTTAGCAACGGCTGATACTTGTACAGAACCGACTGTATTTACATGTCATTTAATCTTGACTTACTCTCGGATAATACATGATACTGTGTTAAATCTCTTCCAGTACTGCAATTTTGCTATGTGCGACAGACGAAATAACGTCTTTCGAAGGCTATGAATCCGCCTATCAATCTGTATGAATTTTTAAGTCGTAACCGCTGAATCGATCAAGATTCCGTATTGCCTGGGTAATAGCGATTTTTCCCACCTTGTTCTTGTCTTGACGATTCCCCGCGGTGCTAGAGACTGCAATTTCCCAAGTGATATGCTTTACAAGCTCGACGGCGGGTTGTTTTTCTTAAGCCTGGGTTTCAGCAGACGGAGCGCTATGAGCTGGACACGCCGTGTTGTACAGGCGCACCAGTCAGCACCATACCGAGCATTGGAACTGAGCAATGACACGCACATTCGGTGTGCTCTCAGCATACAAGTGAGCAAGATGCAGCTCCAAAGGCACTCGTTATGTTAAACGCATATTAATAGACACACTTTTCAAAAGTTAAAAAATGCCAGAAGTAAAATTGTTAAATCAACAGGACCTGTTTGTACTACCAAAGCGGCATTCTACTTAAAACGGTGGGTGGGCAGGATTAAACAAAGCAAAATTAATTCCGATAGCAATACTACTCTTCCATTTCCTCTGTCACCTCTGAAAACATTTTCAACCCACTCCTGTGTAAGAAATAGGAGGCTTGAGATGTTCCGGTGCGCCTTACACGGTCAAGGCTCAAGTTTGTACCAACTAATGCAAGGAACCTTCCAAGCCGCCTCCGACGTGGGTTTACAAAACTCTCATGATAACTCCAAATCCACTTCGTTATCTAAATATAAGCCACTGCTGATAAAGCACTTCGAAAGCAACAGTCGCAACATGCCCCTGACTTCCTCCTACAGTACATCCACAGCAATTGAACTTTGAAGCATCAAACCCGAATCCGTCACTTAGACTCAATGTCGCCTAAGCAGTGTTCGCCAGTGAACAGAAAACTAGCCATCCCGCATGAAAGGTGTTACTTTATTTTTCAAATAATCATCATGCGTCAAAGACGCCCCCTGGTTCTTTAAATGTATAGAAGCCCGTGTTCCTGGGGTCGTCTTAGCGTTTAACTATCGGACGATCAATCGTTTGGTTTGTAGAAAACACCTATAGGAGGATAAGGACATCATCAAAAATAGCCTACATTGCGCAATGCAGCTCAAACTTAGTACTTCAGCCGTACACGACCACTTTCTCGCCGGCAGCGACACAAGTGCTGTAAATGGTTGTAGCTGTACCTTTCAGTAGTCCAAGATTTTTTTCTTCAAATGTATCAGCTCCCGATGTTACCATCCCAATTCCCAGATCGCGCGCTCTTCTCCCGGAGGCCGAAGCAGCTGTGGCGATCGTCATTCCTTATGTAGTGTATTCTTCCTGCCCTGGATTAATGAATAACCCCCCCCTGAACTAAAACCGTCGCTCCGGTCCCGTTACATTGTTACAATTAGCATAGCAAAACTCCAGCTGCGGAATATGAATACTGCAAAGCAGGAAGTCAAGAGGCGGGGAGAGATGACGAGTCACAAACTAGGATTATACTCCTCCACACAAAAAGAGCTCCGGCGGCTTTTCAACTGCTTGCAGAGCTCGGATTGGTTCGCGCGTGTACTGTACCCACTGTGTCGGAATGCGTGGCCATGCGGCGAGACCGCAGTTCAGAATTAACTCACCATCTCGCCAGAACTGGTTCCAGTTTAACGCTCGCTAAGAGAGGCTTGGTCCTAAAGTGCGTCTGATTCCGTCGGGTCAGAATGGAAAGTACAGTCAATTTTTCAATCCCAGACAATGGAAGTACGTCCGACTATTGTGTAACAAGGGCAGCCCTTGTGACAACGTTATTTTCCACTCTGTTTTAATATTTTAATCGAAAGGCTGTTAATTGGTCACCAAACCGGCACTGAGAGATGCCTGTTCTGTAAGCCCACCGCTTTATTACTGGAGCTTTAACGTCAACGTTAAATTATATTATTACGTTTCCGGTGACTTTCCAAAATCATTACCAACGTGGAAAAAAACTGAATTAAAACTTTTCGCAAGTCTTTAAATTGGCCCCTGCTCTTTAGACTAAAATTACGCACGTGGGGCGCACCGCAGCGCGGCGCAGCAGGGAGTTAAAACTTTTTTATAAAGCCACCAGGGTCCTTACAGCATTCCCCGCACAGGTTTCTTCACGTTGATCCCAATTCGCTACAAGAAGCGACAGCAGAACACCTCGATTTCAGTTGAAAGAGTCCCTATACATACTACAGTTAAACGGCTGTCTCGCCGCGCAAAACAGCGTTTACTTCCTTTTTCTCTCGTGGTCCTAGGGACGTCTGAACCCCTACACCGTCTTTCTATTTTGAGACCTGTTTCCTGACTTCTCTTTCAGCCATTTCCTCATTCCTGCCGGCGCGAGTGTCGGATCTCCGTGGTGATGTCACTTGTCCATGCCGCCCCCTCATTTTCTGAAGTCGGGCTCCGTCTCCCTGTGCTACACTCAAGCCAGCGGGTCCCCCTGCGCCCTGCTTTCTATAGTTAGCATACAACTTGGCTGTAGCCGCGGCCGTGACTTGAGCCCATAGAGTCCCGCCCCGGGAGCTCAGACCCCGCTGAGAATGGGCACCCTCAATTACTGTTGGGAACACGCATCATTCAATAACGCCAGAGCATACCTATTCATCAGGGGGCTTTTTGGATGTGCTGTATTATGTTTTAGAGCGAAAGACATCGGCCATCAGTTCTGACCTCTAGTGCGGAGTGTCCCATGAAAATGACGGATGAGATACTGGATTATGGCCACCAAGAGCAACAGCTCCCTTCTACCACAGGGCACACATGTAAGAGCAGGTCAAGCACCAGGAATAACGCCCAGGCTTGCCTGCTCTTGGAGATGGGCACAGTGGCCTTGGCGTGGAGTAACCTGTTAAGCCCTGGCAGCACTGGGGCCCAAGCAGGCTTTGGCCTACAAGGCCTGCTGGGCTTGGCAGACTCAAATCAGACCACATGGGGACTTGGGGACAAATTGCCAAAGTCACATATCACAGCACTCAAGCAGCTCGGCAAGGGCAGCCAAGTGGGGCAAACCGGCCAAATGCTTTTTTATAAAGCATGAGCACAATCCCCCATGTGTGTAGCAAAATGTAGGCTCCCGCCTATTACCAAAGCTCAGTTCTCAACACTGCCAGTGCACGAAAGCTTTATTCCTCTGCCTCTATTCTCAGATACCGTCATAAACAGTAAAACACAAATGAGAAAACCTGAGTAGAACCTATGGGAAAGAGCATTTAAATTGGAAAATGGGAAAGTTTGTCACACAAAGCTCCTAAGGAGTCTGACACAGACTGCCTAGCCATGTTGTTGAAAACAAAACCTTGGCTTCTTTTAAGAAACGCCCGGATGAGATCAATTAGCTACTAACTACCAAATGAGCCATATGAGCCAAATGGCCTCCTCTCATCTGTAACCTTCCCGACGTTCTCAGAAAGCCATGGAGGAATCTTGGGATGTAGTCAGCAACATATGGAGCCATCAGTGTCAATGCATGTTATAGTTACTGTACAATCAGGACAAAAAACAGTGCAGTGCAGGCTTGATTCTGCGTGTCTGATCCACAAAGCTGTCACTTTTGCCAGCATCTTTTTTCTGCAGTTTACATTTGGTCGCAACAGAAACTGCAATATCCTACTAAAATACACTAAATCAAACAGACTGATTGCATAAAATATTAGAGAACAGTCTAGGAGAATTTCCCAACGTTACTACAGCCTTGGCAGGAGCAAAATAACATTCCAGGAAGCATGTAACCCCCCATTCCCTTATTCCTTCCCACCTTGTTTTTCTCGTTGTGAGATCTGAATTTAAAACATTCATTTTTGGGGCTTCGCTAACCTGTACATTTCATTGCTGTCATTTTCCCCAGTATGTGGTTCAAACCCTAATTAAATGAGAAAGCTCTGCAGAAAAATGCTGAAAGAGTGGAAAATAAACCACCCCGAAACCCCAGGAGGTTTTAACATCAGGATTAACCAGGTTTCGGAGAAGTGACCCAATGGGAGTGTGCGATTGCAGCAGTAAAACATCAAGGCAAACAGTTTGCTGGAAGCAACAACCTTTCCACAGCACAAGGCTGGGCTTTGTGAGCAGTATTAGCAACGACGGACAAACTTCTGTCCCTGGGAATAAGCCTGCTTTTTTGTTTCTACATGTTTTAAGACAAAAACCTCCTACAAGCTCCCTAATGAGTTTTCGAGACAGGGTTTTTCCAAAGTAAGCTGGTGATTTTTCCAAGAGGATTAACTAGGGGAAAAAAACTAATCAGCTACTTTTCTCATTGCCAGTTACCTCCTGGCTTTCATGCAGCGTGCCAACAGGAACCTTGAGCCGACATATGAGCAAGCAGCCATTAAGAACGCTGTGGAAACAAGCGATAAAATTCACAGGTTCTGAAGTGGATGCTGTCCTCTGACCGGGGAAAAAAAGATTAGCTAAAGAAGGAGGCCTATAGGAGATCAAAAAGTAAAGAGGTTTCCAAGGATAATAATTGCAGGATTTAATTTGTTTTCCATTTTGTCCAACATTCCCTTACTGTATTCCCATAATAAGTAACAAGGAGAGCAGGACCAATATCTGTCTCAATTTTCCATTCTAGCTTCTCACAGGTAAATAATTCTTCAAACAATGGTGTGCTGACGGAAACTGTGTATTAGCTGAAAGCACTGTGTCTCCACTGTGTCCCCTGTTGCCTGGAAATGTCAAATGTTTAACTTTGAAAAATTAAAGTAAATGGTGCCAAGCATTCCCCCCATCAGCAGTCTGTCAAAAGCAGCACTAGTGTATTAAGAAAGGAAAGACAACAGCTTATATTTCTACATTCCAAGTAGCAACGATACAATTGTTGATGATGCCAATTTGTGAAAAGAGCAGGAAGGAGCAGTGGGTGTTTTGGCAAACTATCCACCTGCAAGGTGGCTGATTATTATAAAAACCTTATCCTCAGTCTTTGGTCATTCTATATTTAGTCTATACAATGTGTTCTGTACAAATTTATCATCAAGGTTTCCTTTTTAAATGAGAACAGAAGTCATTTTAAACTTCAGATTAATCTGAATGCTTGTCCCGCACATGAATCTCTGACAAGAACTCGATATGAACTGACCGTCCCCACATCTTGTAGAAAGAATTTAAGCCATTTTATTTTCAATTGTGATTTAAGTAACTTCAATATTTTGTTAACAGCAGGGCACTGACATAGAGACATATGAGACAGAAAATCAATTCCAATTAAATAATACAAATCTTTAAAGTGAATTTTGACCTGGGGTGGGATCAGGTTACATCTTGAACAGTATCCAAAAGATACAGTAGGTTTTGCTTTTATGTCTCCGGTAACTGGGAGACAATATTCTAATTACATCAACAGGAAAGAGGCTCGTTTCCAGAAAACGAGAATATTTCCAGAGATTAGGAGAAATCCTGTGCAGGTCAGTGTGTCTAGACAGGTCTAAATAAAAAAAAAAAGTTACACCTCCACCGCAATGGAATGTGGAGATTTAATGTTAAGTGGAACAAATGTAAGAAAACTGGGTTACTGTGAGAGGGGGCTATCCATGTTGAGATATCTTTCTTCACTGTTAGCAATCATCCACTATTGAAACTAAACCTATGCTGGCCTAGGAAATCCACAATATGAATCCTGATGCTTTGGTGAAATGCAGATCTCCTGCCTGCACTCTCGAAGAATGAAACAAGACTGTTTTGATTTATATTAAGATTAAGACTGAGCCAGGGGCTGTTTGTCTGACACGGCTCCCTCACCGTGCAACTATCTGCTTACAGCACAGCAGTGCCTCACAAACCCTAGGATTAAAAAATGGGTCAAATACCAATTAAGTCAATTAAAAAGACGAAGAAAGTGATCAGAACACATCAATTAAAGGTAAATTAACTGAAGTGCACACAGACCAGTGTTTATCTACTAGATCACTCCTCAAATATCCTCCTCAATCTGGCACATCTTGGCCATGTTTAAGTATCACCCGCTCCAGGTTATCCCAGCACAACCTCAGTATATTAGCCCTCTGCCAGCACATTAACACCCAGCGTCTGGTGAAGGGCAGACATGGCGCTCCTGCTGGTAGCGGCCCGTGACGCCCACAGTTCTCTACAGATCGTGAAGGCTGCCATGAGGCTCGGGCAGTTTGCGGATGTCGCAGTTCTGAATCAGCCGAAAATAAAACTCCACCAGGTCTTCGTAGTTTTTAGCCGAAATCCTCTCGTTTACACCATGAAACCTGGGGGAGGGAAGCAGTAAAGTTGTTTCTGGCTCCCATTCCCTGTATCCACCCAGCCAACTCAAGAATACATTTGGCATTCCTCAGAGCTCACAGATAGACAGCCTGCTGCCAACTACAGATGAAACGGAGTATTACTTGTTTCCAAATTAAATTCATACAATTTATTTAATGCTCCACTAGTATTTTCTACTGTTGCACCAATTTCGACCGTTACTTAGCTGCAAGGAGCCAAGCTGGTCATTTAGCCATATCTGTCTCATATTAGTTAGTATCTTGGAAAACTCCAGGGGCAGCCCTCGGTGAAGTGTTGTAGCCGCTAATCCGTTACATTTACCTGCCACATCTAATTGGCTCACTGTCAGGAGATCCTCGTCTGTTCCTCTCGACACATTCATGAAGCTACAAAGCTACTTTTGGCACTACAAAATGCAGACTTATCAGGAGTAAGCTTCAAATAAGATGGTTACAGTTTCCCCAAGATCAAGTAAAGAAGGAAAAAAGAAGAAAGCAAAATGTCAACCCAGCACGGTGTGCACGAGTGATAAAACTGCAAATAAAACAGTTATTTTGGTTTGTGTAACTGGTGCACTGAATCAGAGAAAAAATAGTTTTTCTCACAACATTTTCTGTAACTATGTCTGTGTCTGCTTTATAAATAGAATATGACTCATTGCCAAGTGACCCAAAAAAACCTAGAATGCCTGAAAAGGTGTTGTTACATAAAAGTGCAGTCATTTCTGTGCCACATTACTGCAGCCATTCCGAGATTCTATAAACATCCCCGAGTTGAATAGAGAGCTATTTTTCCACCAGCACGAAGCAGACGCGATTGTCTGAATGGGTCTGAAGTGCCTGTGCATTCCAGCAGTATCCTGTTGCAGGGGCTACCAAATGTGCAGTCTCTGCAATCCACTCCATCCTCAGAGTATTTCTGCTACAACCAGCTCATCAAGTAGTTGTTTCATATCAGGATCAATACTAACAATTAAGAGATTGGTGACTCCTGTCTAAGGACTGCAGTGGAGTAGGACTAAAGGGCTGCAAGCTGTTCAGCGCTGAGCTCATCACGGAGCAGCTACACTGAGTGCGCACTAATTTCATCTGTTCCTCTCTCCTGAACACCAGATCAACAATCGTAATTGAAAACCTAATTTAAAATATCCTCCTTAGCTACATTGTTAAATTCAATCTTTTTAAAGCAATTTCAGATTATAGGGTAAATTATTCAGCAGACCAAAAGTGCTTTGAAATAAATCACCTCATGAGTTTTGATTTCAGGTTTTCATTTGATAGAACAAAGCAACCCATCTGTAAGCAACCCAATGGGTCTCCACTACAAAACCATTCAGGACTTAGACAAGCAGAATGGGCTGAACAGAGCTTCCTGGCGAGATACTCTCAAGGATTTGTCACAGTGGAAAGTTTCTCTTTTGCAAACAATGTACTTAAATCCCAGAGAAACTGAGAAGATTGTGACATTTTATCTGCCCTTATCAAAGAAAAATGTTTTCAATCAAAGACACGTGAATCAAGACTTCAACCTTTAGTATCAGAACAGAGAAATGTGGAAAATAATTAAGTTCTGAGTGCTTGTAAGTCTCTTTTCAGACACTGCTCTGAGATAAGCCAAGTTTTAACACTGCTTCTTAAAGAGAAGAATATTTAGAACATTCATTACATTTCAAGGTTTGTTTTAGCGAAGCTAGATGATAAGATCTGCCCTTCTCCACCCGTTTATATAATTACTACTTTTTCCAGGACTTTCTAACTGCCACTGTCTGTGGATATGTGAAATGGATGTATGAGTAGACAAGTCATTTGCGACTCCAAAAATCAGCCATTAAATTTAATAAAACATCCAGCAACAAAATTAAGAAAAATCCTCTGAGTTATTAAAATACACAAACCACAGGAAATGTTTCACCTACTGTCAAAAATCTAAGCTTTTAAGCTTTTTGCAGGTCTTTCTCAAGGAAGAAATTCAGGAAAGTGAAAGAAGAGACTCTACCTGGGCAGGAAACAAGCTACGTACCTCACGCTGACTTTTCAGAAATCTCTAAATTTAGTTTGGATGACAAAAAGTCCTGAAATTATCTGTGCAATCAAATCTCACCAAGTTGAGTTTAAATTAAAAACCTGCTACTAGACCTATCACCCCTGTGGTCCAGCGAGGTTAATGGATCTTGTCTCACCTGCGTAAGTCACCTTTCTTAAACCAGGTTGGAGTAAACCTGTAGGTGTCCTTGGCCAAGTCAACATAGTGGCGACTATCCGTGTTTCCAACGCAGATACCTGCAAAAACACCCCAACCACTGGAATCAGATAAAGGCACACTCAGATATGTGACTGGTTCAGTCTCCTGAAAGATACTTATCAACAGTAACAGTAACACACATTTCACATGGGTGACTGAAAAACTGATCAGAAGATGTCAAGTTTTGCTCTGTTCTTAGAAAACTGGGGAAGAACAATTAATGGAAATTCACTGCATTCTTGTTTTTGAAGTGATCATTCTTTATTCAGCCCTTGGTGGTCGGCTGTTTAATGACTGTCCAGGTGTATCTGGGCAGAGTCCTACCTGGAGCCACTGTCACCTGGGGGAAGGAGTCCAGGACTGTCTTCTTGATGATCTGGAACCCAAAGGACTTCTCGTCGTAGGAGCTGACGCGAGGGGGATCAAAACCATTGACCAGCTCCAGCTTCACCCGTTCATCCCCAATAATGTCCCTGATTATCTCCAGGACCTGGAGAAGACCCAGCGACATAACTCTGCAATTCACAACTGGCAGCCCACTGAAGCTAAGCAGGTGTGAACCTGGTCAGTACCTGGATGTGAGACCTCCTGGGAAAAACTAAGGTTGCTGCTGGAAGAGGTGTTAGTGGGGCCAGCAGGGCGCTGACAGGAACACTATACTGTAAACAGGCACCGTCCTTCGGATGAGACGTAAAACCAAGGTCCTGACTCTCTGTGGTCATTAAAAATCCCAGGGTGCTTCTTGAAAAGAGTAGGGGTGTAACCCTGGCATCCTGGCCAAATTTCCCATTGGCCTTTACCAATCATGGCTTCCTAATAATCCCTACCAGGTGAGTGTTCTGGAGCACTATGGCTGCTGTTGCATCCAGGTGGGTGCTGCACATTGGTGGTGGTGGAGGGGAGTCCCCATTCTTACAATCAGGTTTTAACCTACAGGGTCAAGTCAAATCCATCCTTGAGCAATTAGCCGCTTATTTCTGGTGAGGGCCGCAGCAAGTCAAAGCCTATCCCATCAGCCCAGGGTGCAAGGCGGGACCGAGAACACGCTGGTTCTCCCCAAGCCATCGCACGGCAGGTCACAGCTAAGTCTGCTTCTCAGATGTCTTCCCCACCACACTACACTCCTCATCACGAGAAGTCACCCAAAGGCTCCTGAGAAGGTCCTGTGCCACCCAAGCCCTTTATTACCCACTTGACCCAACAAACTGCTTAAATAAGCCTGTTTAACACTCCTCTAAATTCTTACGTTCCTGCCGAGAGAAAGGTTTTGATCAACCCTCTCGGGCTGACGGATCCACGAGGACTGTGCTTCTGCGCCTGTCTGGCTGAGTCTCGCCCATTTCCCCTGCGCGGCCGTAGGTCCTCGTGCACAGACAGACATCCCCACACTTACCTCCTGCAGCGTCTGCGCAGAGTGGATCCGCAGATTGACAAACGCTTCGGCATACGGAGGGATGACATTGATCTAACAGCACAGAGAAGCATATAAATGGGGGTTTAAACAGAAATTAAAAGGATACAGAGATTGCATTTAAAGGAAGATGCATCTAGTTGCAATATTTTCTTATGATTTTAGCAGTAGTTTTACAGATCCTGATTGGCACTGATCACAGGCAACCTAATAATAATAATTTAGGCAAGCAAGTACAGCTGGTGTCTGTACAACCAGCTCTTAGAAATGGTTCTACTTCAGGGTAAACCTTGTTGAGGGGAGCCACCTGCTGGAGCCCACTGGTAACTGCACTAGCACGTTTTTAATTTCTCTCTGGGTCCTAAGTGAACAAAGCTCACCATTTTGTTGACTATGTATGAATGATAAAAACCTGAACTTTTCTTTTAGTTACAGTTCAATTTTCACTCATCTGCCATGTCTAAGCAAATTCACACTAACTTGTAACCATTCACAAAGATTTATGTATAAAGATTTGAACTGCGGAGCCCAGAGATTCTTCTCTACTAGTGTATCTGCTATGATTATACCTTAATGCCAGAGTTAAACATGGTGACTGCAGTTGTAGTTCGGACAAAGGCATTGGAATCTGGTTTTCCTTCCATAACCCTGTGGGAGGGGAAGACAGCAACTGCTAAATAAAGACGAGTAATGCAGAACGGGTTTAAACCAAAATAAACTCAAGACTGCGCTTACCTGCCAATCAGGGGAGAAAACAGCCAAAGGTTGGTCATGAAGAATTTCAGAGGGAGTGTGAACTGCAAAATGTCACAGGAAGTGGTTGCAATACTTTTAAAATCTGCATCCAGCTCTAACAGTGAAAGGTACATGTACTTATCAACTCTCCATTGGTTAATGAGTTTCAGAACTTTCCTCATTCGGGTGCGTTTTCCGAAATGTAATTAACTGACCTCAGCAGAAGGAGACAGAAAAAACACGCTGGAAATGGTTGTGCCACAGCACCATTCCACATATGTCTGTTCATCACAAAGTGATGTGTCAATAGGTGGTTCACATTTGACTTGCATAGCTATTACACAGAATACATACATTAGAGGAAGGGCCACCACTCTCACCTGCACGACACATTTAACAGGAATGAGCCGCAACCCCTCCTGAACTTGAGCATAATAAACAAAAAGCCATTCAATTAGAAATGCCCCCATAATCAAACAATGAATTCAATTATTAGTACACTATTATAAATATTATGATAAAAAATGGTCATGAAGGCAGAGGAAATGAGGATGTTCATCTAAGCAGCAGAAACAGAGGAAATAAGAAAGTATCAGACATCCCTCTGATAGGTACAGACCCGGAAGGACCCAGGGCCTGGAATTAAATACACCAGGAATGTCGGAAAGCTAACTTTACCTTATGGGCCAGGTGCTCAAAGGTCGCAAGCTCTGGGCCTAACCCAAACATGCTGGGAATGGGGTTCTGTTCCAGCCTGGAAACAGCAGAAAAGAAGTGTGTTGCACACAGAAGTCCAAGATGACAAGTCATACATTCTATCTATAGGGGTCACCACAGACAGCAGTCTGCTCCAGACCCATCCAACAATATTTCACTGCAAATCAGGAGAGTACATTTGCTAAACTCTACCTTGTGCTCTGATAATCAGTTTTGGATTGATGTTTTTTTTTTCCTATACTTTGAGGTGAATAATAGTAGCTAAAAGAAAATCTTGTGGACTGTGTTGCCAGGATAGGGTCTGTCTCCCTCTGCCTGGGCAAGATGAAGCAGTTAGAAAACGGATGGATCTTGCGAACTGCAGAGGGCCGATTCTGGCTCCGGCTGTCTTCTCTCACCTGGTCACAGCTGCTGCCAGGATGCCGATGCTGCTCTCTCGCAGAGGCATGGAGGAGTGCCCAGGGCTCGTGGTCACACTCAGCTTGACCGTGGCCTGGCCCTTCTCACCGATACCTATACTGCTCCACAGCGAGGAACACACAGTTCTGTCATTTCCCCCCTTCAGTACAAAACACGGCTTTCCCCCATCTTAAAGAGATGGAAGCAACATTTGCTCTGAATTTCTAGGCTGCTCTGAATTTCTAAGAATTGTTAACTCTGTAAAGGTGTTGAAATGCTCTAGCCTATCAGGAGACAGTGATGATTTTATGCAAAATGAGATACAAATATCAAGGTACTGATGCCTGTTGCTGTAGCATTACAACAGATTTGGCATTTTACCTGTAGGGCAGAACAGAAGAAAATATATTCAGAGCAATACAGAGTCAGGAACAAAGCTGGAAACCCTCCCCTTTGGTGAGCTGATCTTTACCTTAAGTGCAGGATCATGAAGCCTCCTATTTAATTCTCGCTGCAAAACACAGTCAGCAAGTGCTCCGATTGTCTTTCAAGCTAAAATTTACAGGAATCGACCTCTACTTGGCGGTAACTCAATTTAGAAGAGAAAAGAAACAATGAATGTTCAAGGTGAAATTGAAATAGTTCTAAGCTTTAGACGAACAAGACTCATCTCTATATTAGGAAATCCTGTGTTTTGGAACAAGTAATAGGTTTATCCCATGCTGAAAAGAGAAGAAAGAAAACAACATTTTGGCTGTGGAGCCTTCTTCGGGTGTGAGGTTCAATCCTGTGTTTTTACAATCTTCCACATTAACTCTGCAGTGCTCTGAGGCAAACTTCACCCAAGTTTGAGGGGACAAGATAGATCTGGTCTTGTAAATGGGAAATCACTGTGAAAAGACTATTTGATTTTAAGCAAGCTACAGTACATTTGAACCTCAGTTCTCTGCACAAATATGAGCTGTCCCCTTCTAAAAATCATGTTTTAACCTGATCAGGAGGGTTAAAAAAGGATTGCATAGATCAGATTCATTGCAGAAGTATAACAGATAATGATGTCTCACAGAGCAACCGGTTCAGTTAGTCCGTCAATGACGCCGTCAATCACAGACAGACCCTCATCCAGTACAAAGGACAACTTCACACCGCGAGACTGAAGTTTCCTCACGATGCTCATTGCCCCCTGCAGGCCGTTTACCTGCATGGCACCAGAAACACAAGTGCAGGGACAGAAATAATCACCAACACTCCAGACTGTGCCAGCTGCAGACTCTCACAAGCCATGACAGGTCCTGGATACATTGACTTCTTACCATTTTTATTAAATTTGCATAGACCAGCTAATTAACATAATAATATTCCTCTGTTCTGGTGCTTAAACAACAATTTGTCTCTGAATGGAGATAAGACAAAAGAGATGATAATTGACTTCGGGAGGGCTTGCGCTGATCACTCCTCACTGCACTGCATCAACAGCTCCCCTGTAGAGAAAGCTAGAAGTACTAAGTTTCTTGGTGTGCATATCACAGATGACCTCAGTTGGACCATCAACACCACCTCCCTAGCTAACGTCTCCACTTCCTGTGGTGACTGAGAAGGGCAAACCTCATACTCCTCAAACCCCCCCCCATACTATCCACATTCTATAGAGTTACCCTCAAGAGCATCTTGACAAACTGCATCATTGTTTGGTTTGGGAATTGTCAATACTGCAGGAAACATCATTGGAGCCTACCTTCCATCCATTCAGGACATCTACCACAAACGCTGCACACACAAAGCCTCCAGTATTGAGGACGATCCCTCCCATCCCTCCTGTAACCTCTTTGCCCTCCTACCATCTGGTAAAAGGTATTGCAGTGTACAGGCCAGCTCCACCAGACTCTGTAACAGCTTTTTTTCACCCACAGGCTGTCAGGCTCCTCAACACCCTGATACCTACCGCACCTACTCCAAATCTGGAAACTTAGCTCTTTTTTGCCTAATGTCAGGCATACTGTCCGATGTATTTTTTGCACAAACCTGTAAAGTAAATTGCACTATGCACATTGCACTTTATGTACCCTGTACCCTGCTAGAAAATGTCTATGTCAGCATTGTCTATAGCATTGTCTTGTCTGTGTTCACACCGTAGACCTGGAGAACAATGTCTCGCTCCTCTGTATACTTGTACTGTATATGGCTGGAATGACAAACTTGAACTTCTTTATACACAATCTTACACCCTGGACTGGAGCCAGTTCTGACAGTTAGCCAAATGGGGGAGGCTTGATCACTTCTGGGGACGTTTTTTGAAGTAACCTGCTTTTTAATCACCCTGAGCTGTATGTATTCAATACCTGCATGTTCTCATATTTGGATTCATGCAAATCACTATGACATTGTGACAAACTATGGCTAAGTCCCATTACAAAACTATATAATGCTGAATCAGACTGCTTTTTACAAATAACAAAGAAATATTACATTAACTCGCAAGAAGTTTCCAACTTAAAATTCTAACAAAATAAAATATACTATGCCGCAGAAAAAAGTTACCCCAATTAAGCCTCTGATTTCCTCAATGAAACATCAGCTCTGAATCCCAAGACTGGCCTGGTCAGTGACCATCAAAGGATTCACAGATGTTTTCACACATTCTGCCCTCTCAGTCTCCTCTTACCTCCTCGTCGTGACCCAAGCCAATGTACAATGTGCGCCGAGGTCTGTACCCTTTCTGCAGCAGGTACTCCAGAGCCTGCAGGATTGCCTGCAGATAGACAAGCACAGAAAAACATGAGAAAAGTCACAAAGGAGAAGAAACTGTTGATCCCATCTAGCTCTCTTGGCTGTTAGCAGCTAAATGATGAGCAGATATAATGCAGTCATTTCCTGAAAGCAACCAGGGTACCATGTTCTGCCATTTTACTTGCTAACTTGTTCCATTCTCCCGCAACCCCTTGTGCAAAGCAGTGCCTCGTTCACAGGCATTAATAGTTAAAAGCTATTGAAACAAGGGACTTATAATGCTCCTAAAAACAACTGAACTCAGAATTTCCCAGGATTATGAACCTGGACTGAGGATTCTAGTGCTGTTCTTTCTCAATAGCAGGTCATGTGCTGGACTGTTAATGAAAATACCAGCAAGCAGGGATTGCATCGGAAAAAGAGCCAATTTAAAGAGGAACAACTGTTTGAGATAAAATTTTTTAATCATTTCTTTGTCCTGGAGACAACAAAAGCTCTCTGTCTGCAGAGATGAAGAGACAGTAACTTTTTTTTACCTCCTGTCCCATTCACTTTTACACAAATGCAAGTGCTCTTACACCGAGTTCAATTAGGAAGAATGCAGACCCCTAATTATGAAACCTGGTGTTGTCCGTTATCCCCTGTAAGAACATGTGACTTTCTTCAAACAAAAAAAACCCAATATAAAACAGGATCCCTCCACAGAGATACAAATGCATGGCTTTTGAAACTTTTCCAGATTTGAATACTTTAATTCCCTTTTAGTACAATTTAAATGATAGTTTCTGACATAATTAACCAGTCCACCACAAGGAGGTAGACCTCCTATGAAAGCAAAGTTTGCTGCTGGAAAAGGTGCAGTCTGTGTGGGTCCTGATGCCCCAGTATTATTATGGGAACACTTTCCTGGAAATATCCCAGGGCGTTTCTCAAAATGAGCAGTGGTGTTACCCTGGTGTCCTGGCCAAATTTCCCTCTGGTCTTTACCAATCACGGCCTCCCAATAATCCCCTTTTATGAATCAGCTTCATCACTGTTCTCCCCACAGACAGCTGGTGTGTGGTGAGTGTACTGGTGCAATATGGCTGCTGTCGCATCATCCAGGTGGAGCTGCACTTTGATGGTGGTGGTGGAGGAAAGTCCCCATTACCTGTAAAGCGCTTTGAGTGGAGCATCCAGGAAAGCGCTATGTAAGTGTAAAGAATTATTAATTATTATTATTATTACTTGTGAGGCACGCAAGTGGCTTCTGAATAAGTGCAACTGTTTGTAGGGATAACACACATTATTGATCCATATCAATACCCATATTCATCCATAGGCTTTTTACATGTTAGCAGTTAAACTTACAACCTAAAACACAAGCTCAGGTAAACATGTTCACTTTTGTCTCCACAGACAAGAGAACTGTTAATGACAATCCCCCTCAGTTTGCACCATCCGTTACAGGGGAAGATCTTGGATAACACAGACAGGCCGCAGCCTCCCGGCCTCCTGGCCAGGCCTGTCCTGCAACTCGGTCCCTACCATGAGCGAGTGCTTGTCGTCAATGGTGCCACGGCCGTAGATGAAGCCGCCCATCTCCTGGGCAGAGAAGGGCGGAGCTTCCCAGCCGTCGCCCTCGGAGGCGGGCACCACGTCGAGGTGGGCGATCAGCATGTAGGGCTGCAGGCCCGGGTCCGAGCCCGGCACGGTGAACAGGTGGCTGTAGTTGGCAACGAGCTCATACTTCACTAGGCTGGAGGCGAACACAGTGGGGAAGACTGGCACAGGGGAAAAGAAATCCATTTACAGTCCCACTTTTCATTTTCCCTTTTCTTTACCTCTCACCTCATATCAAAGCTTAGAAAATTTTTATACCATAAGCTTTACCATTCTGCTCGCTCACCACACGCAAACCTTGTAGTATTAGAGAGAACACCAATGTGCAGCCATACCATCGCTCTGCTTACAGACTAGACCTGCACTGGGTCCTTATCATGTTCCGGATACATTTGTTCAAGACTAGATCCCTAATAACTGGGGTAATTTAAGCCAGTTAAGTTAATAGTTGATTCCATAACATAACTAAATGTGCAGAGGGTTTAAGAAGGTGGTTCTGTGGTACCTGTGGGCAGAAAGTCCCGGAACTCCCGCAGGGCTGTGTAGTTGAGCTCTGTGTCCGAGAAGGACACCGTCGGGATGCGAATCGCCGCTGCGCAACCAGAAAAAACGGGAGAAACAACAAACGTCTTCAAATACACCCGACCCGCGATGCTTCTGTTTTAAGAAAAGACGGCGTCTTGTTATTTTATCAAGCTGCAGCAAATAAGTGAACTAAATTTAAAAAGGAGAATAAAAGTTAACTTAGAAATCATGTTGTAGGGAATGTCTCATTGTAAAAAAAAGTTTAGTCGCTGGCTAAAATCACTCAAAGCACAGACTTTTGAATCATGTTACAATTTTAAGACTTCCTGGCTCTGAAAACCGGGTTGCTCCATGTTTGACTTATCTTGAATCAGTTTGCACAGGTTTGCGGAGTTACGCGATTAAGTTTTCAGGGCGTTGCGTAACTAAGAGGAGGAAAAACACAACACACACCGATAACGTCTTTCGATGTGGGTTACTCTTATTTCTTTCATAGTCAGCAAATGTTTTTGCTTCTTTCGTTGCAGCTGTTACAATTATTGCTGCTGCTTGGTGTTTGCCTGCAGTTTTGCCTGAAGTGCAACGGAACACAAGCTATGAACTGGAGACACTAAAATCACATCGCAGTTACATAAATAACACAAGTTAAAAACGACCTGCTTTTCCGCTCTTTTCAGCAATATGCACCCTAAAGAGCTTACGTTACAATCAGTAAAACCTGCTACTACTGTACTGACCTATAGACCTGCACGACCCTGGCAGAAGCTATAGCCCCGTGTCCATTATTCAACAGGAGGACCCACCCTTAAAATTATCCAGTAGCTGCTGTCGCTGCAGCGGGCTGATGCCGAAGGGGACAATCTCCTTCTCTTCCCAGCGAGCGAGCCCGAGCCCCTCGTTCACGTCCAGGGTCAGAGTCCTAATCGTGGCCACGACTAGCAAAACACACACCAGTAGTAACGCGCTCAACAAGGCGACTTTCAGGAACCTCCAGAGCTGAAATCTCGTGCTACGTCCTGTCATTTTCAAGCCGCTAGCTAGCGCTTTCACGCGGCCGTCCGGCGTGTGCGGCTGGTGTCGCTCTCTTGCCCGGATGAGGTAGAGCGAAGCAAAATTGCACTAACCGAGATTACGTCAGAGTTTAAAGTCCAGTGTGCATAACAAATAGCACGTTTAGCCCTATAGGGAGGGCAGAGTGTAGAGGTTTAGCAGGTTGTTTAACCTGACAAATTGCCCGTAAAACCAGTGTAGGGGTAGCCACGTTGTTCAGGGTGAAGTCGTATTCTTTTACGCTACAATATTTAACGTTTAATTTGTCCCTATAGTGCTATAATAAAGGTTTATAAATATGTTCTCAACAGAAAATACATAATTAAATAAAGGATTTTATTTTTTATAATATCATTAGTTGTAAAGTAAGGATTTAAATTTGCTGACAAATTGCTTGAAATAAGAACAAATCGCCCAGGCTGATCATGATTGCTGTTAAATAGCGTCTGAAATATAAACTGGCCTGCAAGACTATTAATAAATCCCTGGAGGTAACAGCCAGAGGCCAAGAAACTGGTATTTATAGCATGGGCTCATGTCAGTTTTGGTAGACAAACAACTGGCGAGCACACACCAGAAATGTGCATATTACAGGCAGTAAAATATGACGATTTGTTTGTTTTAAGCGTTCAAATGTAGTGTGATAGTAAAGACAATTTACAAACAGTATTTGGTGTAGAATTCATAGTTTCATAAGGTGCTTCCAGGAATAAACAAGTACAGTACGTGAGATACCGATTCATTTACACACAGAGACGTGTTCTAACTACTGAAATCGTTTAATTGACATATGAAACTTTGTGGTCGTCGCGTAATGCCCGAGCTACAAAATCACAAATATTAGAAAATCCGTACACACATTTATTGCACTAATGTCTTTGAAAATAAACCACACTTTATCCTTATACTTGCATCACACTTTAAAAACAGTGCTAGAATACTGTATTAGCTACTGCAACTCAAAAGCCCTCTGGAAAAAAACAGCATTACACTGCAACACCTTAAATACTAATACAACTCTAAAGTTGTACATGTGCACCTGAACTAAAACAATTACTTCAATTTATTGTTTCTATTCTAGAAAATGTAATTATTGCAAACTGATAAAGTTAGAACAGTGTACCCTATTGAGTTCTATGATTTAAGATGTTGTTCCTGCAGGTATTCGACTATTATTATGCTTTAGCTCATAATTTACTGTATTGTTGCTACATTCTAAACAATACCACTCTACGCTACATATATGTGCAGTATGTTTTCAGAAATTGTTCTGAAAGTCTGCTTTAGATAAAGGCTTGAAATCGTAATGTGGCTATTTCCATTAGCTCCCTTCTGAAGACTCATACGTAGAGGGTCATTGCAGTTACCTCTAAACACAGAATAAACTACACTGTGCTTAAGCATGCAATCGGCTTATGTTTGTAAGCAATCTATTGAAGTTTGATGACTAGTTTCTGAAAACCATAAATACCTACTGCTCTTATTGGAAAGGCGGGGCCAACCCTCAAATAGGCCAGCGTATCAGGGAGAGGGAAAAGCAGGATGAACCAATCAAAAACGGCAGCGTCAACACTCTAGCTGCGCCATTGGATGGAAGGTTCAATGCGGCGCAGGTGTGGACTCGTCTCTCACTTTCCCATGTTGAAAAATCAAATGCAACCAATGTACCTTTCTTATTCATGGAGCAAAATGCTCAATAACACCCTTATACAAATGATGTCGAAAATGTGCTACAGTTAATCATTCAAATTGTAATACTAAAGTTATTGATGTCTCCCTGAAACAATCAATGTATAGTTCTAACAACCCATGTTGTTTGGTTGGTTCTAGGTTAGTACCCATTTGTATGTGAATATATGTGTGAAAGCTAGTAGCGCTTTGGAGCTTTTGTTTCTCCTCTCCTAGTGAATGTATAAACCTATAATTTTTTTTATCACTAACCGGTGTGGAATCTAACAAGTAAGAGTTGGTTAATGGGTCATAGAATAAGAAGTTGTATCATGAATAAAGTGAGCAGCTACTGGAACCAACCATAGTGATATAACAGTTCAGTTTTCATTGGAAAGGCAAAGTTAATTTTTGGATGGGACTCTTATTTATTGGGGATCCCTGGGGTACCCCATATAGTATGTGATGTGAAAAGCTACATGTCACAGGCTCTTTGGTCCATCTTACTTGCCTGGTTCATTCATCGTAGTGAGATGAGATATGATTAAAAAAGGCAACAAAAATTATATCACTTGCCTAATGACTCTAATCTGATCTCCGTGCTATTGGTTAATATCACATTTTCTGCATGTAAAAGCAAAGCTGTGTGTGAAGAACAAATCAAGTTCAGTTTACGAAACGCAATGCAGGTCTACTTTGCTTTAGTCCAATCTGTAACTGAAAGGTAGCTGAAATCAGAGCTGCCAAACAATCCTTAGCCTCCTATTGTGATTTGAACAACTCTCCAGTACCGTTTGGAGGTTTGGAGCAGGGCTGTCCAATCCTGGCTGGAGAAGACTTGTATATCTGCAGGTTTTCTTGGTCTCTTTAAAGCGGCAGCACCTGAAGAGCTGAGAGACGTTGGCAAACTGGCCCCATTAAGTCAGTAAGCTGGTTCAGAGCTAGGCTGAAATGAAAACCTACAGTAACAGAGGCTCCCAGCGGGCAGAAATGCACAGTCCTCTCCTAGAGACAGACCTTCACTGCTCAGAGTGCACAGAGGCAGCGTCCTTGTTCAATCCCCAGCTCTCACTGCTGGGTCCTGACGAAAGAGGCTACAGCGACTCCCCCAGCTTCACATACAGGACCTCATGGGCAGGGCTTGGGCTCTGGTTGACTCCTCCCACCACTAGGAGACGGTCCTGGATGACAATACAGGAGGCGGAGCAGCGGGGTGAGGTCATAGGGGGCAGATACTCCCACTTCCTCTTTCCTGGGTGATAGGCCTCCACAGAATCCAACATGGAGGGCTGGTTACCTGCAGAGACAGCCCCACATACCAGCAGTGAGCAACCCAGTACAATCAGAGCCACAGCAGCTCCTTCACTGCATCTCAAACTGCACAGTCTGACTTTGTACTCAAGCAGCTGTCCTTAAGTTAAAGCAGCAACACCACAAAACCCAAGGAAGACTAAGTAAGCTTTAGCTCAATTAACTGGTGGCTTAACTAGAGAAATGTCTCCCTCCAGCACAGGTCTTATGCTGCGGATGATACAAGGAGACCTATAAAACCTGTTGCAGTGTTGCCCTCGATGACTGAAAAATCAATCTAGTGATTCCTTTTAAGTACAATATAAATACATCCGTGGTATCAGATATGTAAAATACTGTGCTGATTGAAAGCAGATGTTCAGTATCATATTTAGTTGTAACATTAAGATTGATCACAGTAAGAGTGCCATGTGTTCAACACTGAAAGCTGCCATCTGTGGCTGGAACACAGTTTGGGTTTCTACAGCTCTGTAAATTAATGCAAATAAAGAATTTGCACTTCCTCTCCGACTTGGTGTTTAGTGATTAAATACATCTGGGTTGTCGTAAATTAGCTGCTTATGAATAGAGACCTATTTAAAAACACTCAGGATTGCAGCCCCCATACATACTGTATACACTTTCACTGGCTGACCCTTGTGACAGGGACCCGCCTGCGAGAGGTTCTGACTCATCCCACAGTTCTTCTGCATCACTTCCAATCACTCAGGGTATAAAAGAACATGTGGGAGGGCACTTCCACGAAAAACAGCATGGCAGCTTCAGAAATAATCAAACAGTTTCCACTGCCCCACTGGACACTACCTGCCCGTTTCAGGATCTGTACAATGCAATGTCTCCAATACGCCATCTAACATATTACAGACTGAAAATAAGACATGATAGCAAAGTGATATATACTGTATGGCAGTAAAACATCAGTATATGACCAAAATTAGTTTACACTGCAATAAAGAACAGGTTCATTCTTCCTTACAGGAAATTAGACCTACTTGTTTCTCCTAAATTCAGTATGTGGTTGTTGCCGTGGTAACCCACGTTCAGCACACTTCCAAAAACACATATGCGTCTATGACAAAACCCCAGCACGTCCCAATAGAGCATGTCGCAAGGCAGAGAAAACTGTGCCCAGGTTATAAAGAGGAGTGTCCTGGTCGGACACTCTTGCAGGATGCACAAGGCCAGATGATCAGACATTTCTGCTTGTGTGTGCCCCACATTGTGCCTGGTGCCTGAGTCAAGGCTGGGATTACAGGGGGGCTGCCCCTACTTGCTCTCTTGCCCCTCTCTCACCCAGTCCTCCAGCCACAATCACTCTCCCCTGCAGGAATGCAGACACAAAATCTGCTCGCTTCGTCTTCAAGGACACAGTTTCCTCAGACTTCTGCCAAACACCTGCAAAGGACAGAGACCAGAGACTTAGTGCTGCTGCGAGAGATACGGTAACACAATGTATTTGTTGCATTCTGACTCTGACCTGGTTTCCAGTTTATTTTTGAAACCCAGAATTACATGATAGATGGCAGACACAGCAATTTGCTTTTTTGCTAGTTCAACAGGGATCATAGCAGTTCTTTTCTTGAGGAGCATGAAGACCCTGCATCACATCACAGTCAAGTTTTGCTCATTTCATTAATTTCTCACAAAGCCCAATATTCACTTAGCTTAGCTAAGACCAGGAGCCCAAGAGTCTCATTAAGGCAAGAAGCTAGTTCTTGCAAAGCCACTGAGATGGAATACTATAATTAAGGAAAAACAAAATAAGTTTTTTTTGTTTCAGATTCTGCTTTCAGAGGACTAGAGGCCAGAAAAATCCCATTCATCTGAATAACCAATTAAAAGTGTGGTGTTCAATACAACAAAGCAATTTGCTTAAAAACGACCAGCCCATCACACTAGCCTAGAAAATATTTCTCCTTAAAATTGGAAGTATGCACTGCCATTTTTTTTCCAAAAAAGTCGTTACAGTGTAAATGCAGTACATCTAGTTATCGTAGCCAGTAAAAAGGTTTGTCCTATGTGAGCTACTAAGATTTTGTACAGACACGTCTAGTTCAAAGTTATTGTATGTTTGCAATTACAAATACTAGCCCCAGAGAGAATTCCATGGAAAAAGGAAGACAGTATATATAGTATCTCTTTCTAGTTACTATAATTACCAAATTTCTACAATTTGAATTTAACAGTAGTAATTGTTACTTAAACACAAAACTGTCTGACACTACTGAAGAAACTGCTTCGCACACAGTCAAGTGAGAAAGCAACAGCAGTCCCATCTCCTGTATTGTTTGGAATCCCTGCTTCCCTGCAGGAAATGAAGCACTTTTGGAATCCTTTCCCTGGCCTTGTACCTCATGAGGACGGTCACCTTGCTGACTGTCGAAGATGTTGACGTTCTTGGTGAATTTGGGCCGCTGGTGGACGCCCCCCTGCCGCAGCCCCCCCAGGCTGTACAGCTGCCCCTCTCTGTCCCACACCAGGCCTGAGTATGCTCGCTTGCAGGGCATGCTGGGAAGGACAGCCCAAGAGCGGCTCTCGGTGTCATACACCTCAAAGGCCTTGACAGACCGCTTACACTGCCTGCCACCTGCAGGAGGAGAGACGGCGCTGTGAGACTGAGGATTCTGGGAGAGACAAGGTTGCGTCAGTCTGAAAAAAGGTCAGTGTAAACACCGCACATCCCGTAAGTCAGGGGACGTCTTCCAGTGTTGTGAATGATTTCCCTTTTGCCTGCCGTCCAAACAGGTTTGACTATGAATTTAAGACTTGATGAAAGTGGGAAAAGGAAGTGATGAAGAAGTCAGATGAATGCAAGATGCAGTGCCGGTCTGTGCTGACTGAACCACCACCCCCATGACTCTCCTGCGCTTGATGTACTGTGTTTTGTATTGTTACACATACTATTATTGGCCAGCAGCCATATCACCCTGCAGTTCACAACTGGTGGTGGTGGAGGGGAGTCCCCTTTACCTGTAAAGTGCTTTGAGTGGAGTGTCCAGAAAGAGCTACATAAGTGTAAGGAATTAATTATTATTATTGTTATTATTATTATGCACATTGGAGACACCCAGTACTGGATGACTCAATCACCTGCCACATAGATCTTGGTACCCAGGAGGTGGACAGCTGCATCATATCGCGGGGTAGGCATGGGGGACAGCGATACCCACATGTCCTTGCGCAGGTCGTACTGCTGGAGGACACTCCGGGGGAACAGATCCCTCCCCATCCCTCCTACTGCAAACACCCTGCCATCTGCGAAAAGAAAAGGCAGAAGAGGGCGGGCGTCAGGGCCCTGTCAGCTTGACAGCTGAGTGGCTGTGCCACACCAGTGCCTTCTCCCTGGTAAAGGAATAAGGACAAGCACGCGCATGTTTAATCACGCTTGGGTAAGGAGATAGCGAAGGGCAATAATTTAATTAGAAACACTCCTGATCACTGTTTTGCACGTGATTTACTCACAGCATGCAGGAGTGTTTCTTATTTCATCCATACCTTTACAACTGCAAAATATATTCACACAGCACTCAGCTGCAGAATAATAAACCTGTCACACTGGTGAAGACAGGGAAGAAGGCTCACATCAAAACAGCACTTTCTTTTCTGTTTACCCACATGAAGGTAAAGAGAAAACAGGTATGACCTTGGCTGCAGCACCTTGATGACAGGATGGGGATATCCTGTATCTAACAAGGCCCAGGTAAAAGGGAAACCTCACTACTCACCTCCATCGATTATGGAATCAATCACTTAGAGGGATAATTCAGTCAGCGAAAGACCTCCAGGGAGATATTCGCTACATGTTTCTACAAGAAGATCCATACTCATTGCTTTCTTGCAAGGCTGTGTGAACACTGTGAAAAAGAGGACACCAGGGACTTACAGGCCCACCGGTGAATGTGCTCTACAGAACACAGGAGACGCCTCTAATTCCATTGCACGCCATTATTCATTTCCCCAAGTTGAATTGGAGTGACCTCTACTAGTATAGGTTAATGAGAAGATACTGTATAGCAGATAAATCACTTCTTGCAGCCTGACCTCACGTCTAGTCCTTGAGTCAGCTCAGCTCTGTCTTCCGTGTCTCTCTCTCCCTCACCTTTCACAGTCAGAGAGATACCCATGGCTGCTTCTCTCAGGGCGCTCCGTTTCCTCCACCGGCCCTCCTCTGTGTTGTACAGCTCCACAGACTTAAGGGGGCGCTGGTCTATACCCACCCCGCCCAACACCAGCAGCTGCTTCCCGAGGACAGCTACAGCAGCGCCAGCCCGGGGGGTGGGCATCGGGGGCAGACCGACCCACTGGTCCACTTCGGGGGAGTACAGCTCCAAGGCGCTGATGGGCTGGCCCGTCTCATCGCAGCCCCCCACCACGAACAGCTGCCCCCCCACCTCTGCTAAGGAATGATACACTCGGCCAGTGGGCAAAGGGGCCAGGCTGAGCCAGTGGAACTCGTGGGCGGCCGCCACAGCCATGCCAATGGTCTTCTTCCACACCAACACTGGATTCACTTAGGGGGGCATACGCAGGGGCTCGAGAATATGAAGCTGTGCCAGGGAAGAATGAAAAAATATCCTCTTCTCTCCAGCAAAGTCCTGGAATGCAAGAGAGACTAGACTTTGAATCAAATAAAAGGACATCCAGGTGAATTTTCCCTCAACAACAGCTACAGTATGAGAGCCAGGTGCGGAATTTTAGTATTTTTTAACCACAAAAAAGACTTTTTCACAATTTTCGCTAGTCCATTTCTATTTGCCTCAGCATTTAGCAATAATAATACTAAACATCATTAATAATACGTGGCAAGACAAAAGATAAAAAATATTGTATTTTATACGTAGAAACACAAAATGACGGATTAGTTTATCTGTAAAATCTCAAATGAGCTTCAGCTAGGAAAGTTATTTTTCCTTCAAGAAACTCCCATTTCAAAATAGGCAAAGAATCTTTAGAAAAAATAATAATTGTGGAACGGGTATAGGAAATTTGCCTTTCAGTAAAATGCCAGAAATGCGGCTTTGTGTGAGAGAATTACAAATTGCTTTGTGGTCGGCGATATCAAATAATGATTTCAGTTACTTGTTCATTCCTATTGAAATCTCTGCCTGCCCCACTTTGGAGGCCTGACCGCAAACACAGAAACAGGCTGAAATCCCAAGGCTGGAATGTAATTGATTTTTCATGGCTGTCTGCTGTGTCCTTCCTGGGATGAGTACACAATATGCAATGTGTGAAGCCAGGGGACTGTCGCTACCCATCCATTAGTAACCAAGCAACCAGCCCTTCTCCACTCCCTCCCTGGACCAGTGAGCACGCAGTACTGGGGCTGTCAGGCTCCCAGAGACAAGCACTACTCCCGCCCAAAAGCACCATGGGTAAACTAACAGCCCATGACCTCTTGCTGACCTGTCACATCCAGGATTGGAGCGGGACTAATCGGGACCCTCCGGCTCTGAAGGCGTACCACGCATTTGGCTTTTGTAGTCATTAAATGAACAGAAAGGCCACAGGAGGGGGTTTTGCCATTTTGTGTTTAACTAATTGCTCTTTTATAGCTGTGCCCCTTTCAGAAGAAATCTGAACAAATCATTTCAGATTGTCGGTGATATTCTGCGGGATGAGTGTGTTGACCACAGCTGGCATTGACATCCAAGTGGCTTCGTGGCATTTCCTGGCAGCTACAGAACTGGGCATCTGTTGTGAATTACTGCAAAAAAATGTTATTTATTCATTATTCTTTACTCTGCAACCTTTGTCATCGGAAATGTTCTTCATCCAATATTCTTAGTCAAACTGTATTTTGGGAGTGTGTGCGTGCTTGTTCCCATCCAGGGTGAACCCCATCTCACGCCCTTCGCCTGCCAGGACAGGCTTACAGCTCTACTGTGACCCTTCGTTAGATAAAACTGTTAGAAATTGGATGGAGGGGTTGATAGATGGAGGGTTGGTTGCATGAATGAAAAATTCAGATTTTCAAAACCACACATGAAAGGTAGGCTTGATATCCTCTTCATGGGCAATTTGTGGGAGCAGGAAGAAGTCTGCTCACCCTGTAACCATGTAGAACAGCTTGGACATAGTGTGCAGTAACACGCTATCTGCACAGTAGCACTGGGAATCATCCATCGGAAATGGAGCTAAATGAAAACAACCGCCGGCAGCAGAAAATCAATTATGTGAAAAATGAGCCATCATTTAATTAACAGATCACATTCTCATGTTTCCCCACTGCATAGGAATATATAATCCCCTTACTTCATTCAGCTACAGAAATAAATCGTCTTGTACTGCTTCAATTAAAATATGCAAAACGCACATTTTTCACGGACGTTGCTTCAGTTGCTTTTGTACCAACAGCCCAGAAATACCTGGATAACTAAGACCAGGCCAACTCCAACAGTACTAATCCAATCGGCCAAATAAAGATCAGTCAGCCTCCATCAGCACTCATCCAGTTGGCCAACCAAAACCCACCCAACTCCACAAGCAGAAATCCAATTGGCCAACTAAGACCCACTCACCTCCACCAGCACACATCTAATTGGCCAACTAAGACCCAACCAGCTCCACCAGCGCACACCCAATGATGTGTTTCAGTTTGTGTCCTGGTCTCAGTGAACGATGCAGCCTAGGCCAAAACTGGCACAGTCTCAGCATCAGGACCTTCTCCCTGAAGGAAGGCCCTTACTGGTTGAATAACTGGGGAGCCATTGCAAATCAACTATCAGCAACATGCATTCCCTTACAACACTTCACTTCAGGCCAGAGGGTGGAAAAACTCATTTTCCAGCAATCTAAAAGACTGCAATACAGGAAAACATCCATGACATGAGTTTTACTGGTCTTGAAAGATACAGTCACTGGCAGAAAGAAATTCTGATTACCAGTTTTACTACAGACCAGTTACAGTTTCTGTAAATTTAATGTTCAGATCCAAGAGATTATATCATGTAAATCAATTATACCACATAAATCTCGTGTAAGTGAATTTGTCAAAGACCAGGGCACAGGAATGTCTTCTTTTGTTACAGAGTTCTGAACTTCTCTTCTCTCACTTCTTTCCCTGGGCTGTGATGACATGGGCATTGTTCTGGCGTGCTTGGGAAGCGAATTCATTAATTCCCTGCTCCCAATTTAATCATAGCAAGGTGAACTCCAGTCACCTCTGAAGCAGCGGGATCAAAGAGAAACCAGCGCTCCTTAAAAAAAATCCCAGAGAATTTATTGCTCGAAAATTGCCTGATGTGCAGGGGTGGGTTGCCATAGAAACAATGACAGTTTTAAATGCTAGGGGCTGAATCCCGTGCTCAGACGCGCTCAGCTTTAATAATAGATTTAAAAGCATCACTTTGCACACATAACAATGACCTAGTGTGGCGGTCTCTCGTTATGGGAGTCAGATAGCTTTTGCTGGCATGTTTGGGGAGCACATCAATCCTGATTTAGAGAAGAACTGTTTTTAACAGCCTGCATCACAGTGTGAGAACAACAAAGGGGATATGTACGCCCACCAGATTTAGTTTACTGGATCCTAATTTACAGTTTAAAACAAGGCACTCTAATCATGTCACTGATCTTGAAAACATGTCTTTCTCCCTCACATATTAGAAAACGTTTGGCCTGGTTCCCATAAACCTGGGCCTTTATCTCCCTTTTGTCAAGTAAATTGCATTCAAATTCATTTTTTAATTACTTTTTGGCACAGATCAAAAGGATTCAACCATGTGATAAAAAGGGGAATATTTGTAAATCAAATCAGTGCTCAGGGCGGCACTGTGGTGCAGTGATTAGTGTTACTGCCTCCCAGTGCTAGGGCCCGGGGTTCAATTCTGGATCTGGGGTGCTATATGTGTGGAGTTTGGATGTATGTTGTTCAAGTGGGTTCCCTCAAGTGGGTGCTCCAATTTCCACCCTCAGTCCAAGAACATAGTGGCCAGTGACCTGGCTTCTGGGAGACTTGGCCCTGGTGTGAGTATGTTCATGTCTGTGTTTGTCTGTACCCTACAGTGGACAACCATCCTGTCCAAGGTGTACCCTGCCTTGTGCCCCTTGCTTGTTAAAAAATGGATGGATGGAAACTACTGTTTAATATGACAAAAAATGCTTAAATCAATGTTTCACTACTAAAGCCTTGTGATCAATGATAACAGTTTTTTTAAAGACTTTTTATGCAAAGGCTTTTCCAAAAGACTAAGGGGGAAAACTATGGCATTAACAACTGATCCTGCAATGTCAGTGATGGAAGGATCTTGGTCTGGTATCTTAACCAAATGATCAAGCAGAAGGAGCTTAGCCAGGGCTTGAACTAGCAATAGCCTGGTAACAAACTCCTTACCTTAAACACCGGATAACCTCAGCCCAAGGGATCCACTCCATGCTGCTACAGGACTTTGATCCTGAACTATTATCACTGAACTGATCCCTTTTTAAAATCTGTGCATTTGCCGAATATTTTATAAATGCTCGCCCAACCGAGTTACCAGATGCTTTAATGTTCACTGGCAAAAACTCCTGTGCAGTCTCGGGAGTGGGGTACACCCACCTGCAGCGCCACTCCTCACTGGACACGCGCTGAGCTGCGGAGTGCCTGTCTGGAGGAGCAGAGTCTCTCTCTGTGACATCACTGCAGGTCTGCAGGCATCACAGTCCTGGCCTACTTACGCCAACGCTACTCTGGGGATGCCCAGCCAGCACTGCCCATTCCTGGAACTGATCCTTAGTTGCTTAATTGACCAAGGTGCAACATCCATGACATGAGTTTTACTGGTCTTGAAAGATACAGTCACTGGCAGAAAGAAATTCTGATCACCAGTTTTTCTACAGACCAGTTACAATTTCTGTAAGTTGCTGAGGATCACTCCAGTAACCAAGAATTAACTGGAACAAGGACTTTCTGGAAACCATTTGTAAAAAGGTTAACTGCAGTAAGAAACCGAAAACATTCCAGGGAACCAATCGAGTTTAGCTCATCCTTGTGTCTGTATTTCCTTCTCTACGCCTGTCTTTCTCCACCTCATTTATAACACATAACACCTCACTGCCCCAGTGCTGCTCGGCGCACAACTCTGGTTCTGCACTTTGACTCATTATGCTAATCACCCCGTCTCTGGCAAATCCAGACGAGCCTCATTTCCATGGCAACCCCTCACATGCGGCAACAGACGGCGCAAGTCTGCATCTGATAATATTAGGCCTCAGATGTACGTCTTAGTGAAGAAAAAAAAATGAAAAGTAAAAGGACAGCAGCTGTCTGCACCTCCACTCCAGAAGGATACATGCTGGGCTGTGGTTTGCAAAGGGAGAAACTGAGAGACACGGCTAGCATGAGGAAAAAGAGAAAAAATAAAATTAGCCCTGCTGCATTAACCTACGGCTCTTTAGCGGAGTTACAAAACCTCCATTTGTGAGTCATCTTTGGGTTTCGTACTCCAATGCCAGCTAAGGACAGTGTTGCAAATGCATTTGTACAGTGTGCCCACTATGCTTCTGCCCCGGAGATGCAATGACACCTGCCAGGAATCAGTTTATAGAGGGCCTAAGAAATGTCACAAAGCATGAAACAATTTCTAACAATTGTTACAAAGAACATTCTAAAGAAGATGTCCCATTTAGAATTTTACTAGGATACACAATAGCAAGGAAAATCAAAATCATGATTTAAAACACAGTAATGAAAAGAGAGGAAAGGAAAGAAACTGTAGATACGGTGAAAATAGCAAAATAAAGTATTTCCACAGCTCAAGCATGATAGGACCACAGGTATTGTATAAAAAACACACACATTTACTAGGATAAACTTTCATAAGGAGATATACACATGCAGATATCACTTTTAAAATATATTATAAAAAATAATGTATTGGTGCTGGTACAATATATAGGAAGATCACTTTTAATGAGTGACCAAAATTAATCAACGTATGTTTGCCTGACAGGACAGCCCTAGAATTAAATGCTGCCCAAATCCTTTGGAGCTCGATAGCTCCTTTCGCAAAGGAAATGTAAACCCATACTTAGGCCCACTTGTTAGTCCATAGGTAACTGTACTAGATACATATACTGTATCTCCACAGCACAGCATAGGGATGACGTGTAATTCGACAGAAAGCGCTAGAAAGGCTACGTTTTCTTGTATTCGAAGGAATGTAGATAATCAGAGTTTAGTTTCTATTCGAAACAGAATTGCTGAGCAATCACAGTATAATGAATCGTGGTTCCTTCTAAATTAAAAGTAACCTACTGTAAGTTAAACAGACGTCCGCATTAAAGAATTAAAAACAGTATAATACTGCGTATTTCTAAAAAGTTGAAGTGGAGAGTATGGATCATCCCAGCATTCACACATCGAAAATTAACATCACTTTGCAAAGGATTTGGAACAATCACGCCCTCTCTTTTGTTACATTAACTACAACTGATTTTCATTCCGGGTGGAGTTGCCGAGCTGACCTCTTTAAAAGCCGGAGAAGCCTTAAGCCTGAATGACATTCGTAATGTACTACATTCTGTGCCATACCAACACCCCCCCACCAGAGATAAATTAATTAGCTCCATTAAAACTGACAGCACAGCGGTTCGACTTACTTTTATAGTTAAAATCCGCGACCATATAAACCCAGTAAAATGATTAATTTCAGTTATTTTAAAAAGAATGAGATCGCACGATGTATCCATTATTTTTTCAAAGTTATTGAAGCCGGAGCTTTGCGGTAACAAATTACACAGGACTCACTTTTCCGTTTGCCGAAGACAGGTGTCTACTCCTCTCTGCAAGAAGCCTTTCAAGAGCTGCGCTCCACTCAGCGGGGACAGTCCGGGGAGCATTACAGTGCATAAAAGCCCCTCCCCTTAAAATATGGCCACTCCTCGCCCCTCCAGCAGGAGCCGAAACCCTGGTTTAGACAGTGCTCTCCGATGACTGATGCTTCAGCGTTATTAAAAGTCGCCAGGTCCGCTGCCTACAGGCGCCACAGAGCAGGTGACTACGAAACTGTTTTTATTTTTCGTCTTTATGTGGGTCACACACTGGATATGCTCGCGGTTCAGTTGAATAGGAGGCTACTGACATTACAATATTAAGCTCGGAAACATCCGCGGGCTTCGCTTACCTAACAGCTCCAACGAGGTCTGGCATTTCATGGCTAGAAGTCTAAAATAAATCCCAAGTGAACAGAAGCAATTTGTTTCAAACCCAGTTAAAAAACAGGATAAAAAAGCACTGCTGCCAATACATACTGTACAATGCACGATAAAAACAGCTTTGCTTTTGCAACTTTTCACATCCTGCTTTAGTCCTAATGCAATTTTGCTTACCTGTTTCGTCTGGTATGTATTTTTAATGAGAACGCATTCCTATAAAAGGACGGCTTCGCTGCTCGTGGTTATCCTTAGTTGCCGTTTATATATTTTTCATGTAAAGCTTCTCGAGAATGTATTATTAAAATACAACACAACATTCTTTTCGGGCAGAAACAGTGGTGCCATTACTCACAATTACTGCATACAATATTTACAGGCGTTCTGCGTTTTAGGATAACACCAAAATGGGTGGGAACAAAACACATTTACTTCCGTTATTACATTCACAGTTCGGGGCTATGAGCCTGCCTGAGTGTCATTTTTGAAATACGGCCGTACTTTCTAAATACAGTTTAGCACAGTTCTTGTACAGACGCGGAGTTTCCCAGTTTGTCGGTGAGGTTACTTGATAACCTTTCCTACTGTAACACGAATCGGAGGATCAGCCTCCCTTGGAAAGGAAGACACGGGAAATAAACCCGGGTACATAGAGAAGCTACTGCACAAATATCACAATCCCTTAGAAATAATCTGATGTATACATTATGCAGCTTTACTGGATTAAAATATGTTTAAGTGTTATTTTTAAAAATCTTACTTCTTTTAGGGATGTAAGTGGTATCACTTTGAGGGGACTGACTAAACCTGCCCAGCATGATCTGAAGGTGCGGTGCGTAAAGATGTCCGATGCCATCCGGTTGCTCATGTGGCGTGGACTGGGCAGTAGGACACAAGGCGGTACTGTATCCATACTAACCGGAGGAGAGCCGTCTCGAAGGCTGGCTGCAATTCAGTGCTGTTCTCGTTGAAGGCGGAGCTACATGTAAATTCCAGGAAAAAATGTACAAGCAATTCACCGGGACAAATCCTCGTTGCCTCATTATCGTTTTATAAAAGAGGTGCATCATAAGATCATAGTCTGTGCAATACGTATACTTTCCAGAGCTTCCAAAATTCAATTTTAAAAGGAAAGATGAGGTTGGGAGGCTGGAGAACAAATGGCAACGGGCTTCTCTCTCCAGTGTAATGCAGACCTGCTTCCCTTCGAGAGAACATACCACGACACCAACAAAAAAAGAGACCTCAAAACGCAGTAACAGGGGTGGCTGAGAGAAATCACACACAATCAGAATCACAAGGCAACAGTAGAGGAGACCAGCATTAAGAATCACTTTCACAGTTTTCACAACCTTACCCAGAAGTCTGGGCACATGATTCCAGAATTTAATCGTAGCCCGGGGCTGAACACTCCAGCAACGACCCCTCGTGCTTTCAGAATTCTGACTGCTGAGGGGACACTGCCGGTATTCAGAAATACCTGCATAGCATCTTCATAAACGGCGATGCTCCTGAACGATCTCGCTACAGCAGTGCTGTCCTCTGAGCCGCCCCATCTCTGCAGGAAGTCTCATCAGATGTTCCGATATCCTCCTGGAAAAAAGCTGGTCTCATGGTCTTTCACTTTCTTCAGACTTTTTAACAGACTCTGGTGTGCAATACAGGGAGAGGGAGAATAAGGTCCACTTTCACAGTTTTGGGAACTCCCAAGTAAACAGTGAATTTAATAAGGAAGGGTATCCTGCTTGAGTTCCATGATTGCAGGTTCAAGGCTGGATCAGGTCACCAGACAACAGAGACAGGGATCCCCCAAGGCTGAGAGCTGGGGTTCACTTAACAACACGGCACCTCTTGTGCCCTCCTAGTAACTTGTAGGTCCACTCCTCTCCTCCAGTTGATGCTGGAGCTCCCGGTTGGGGCTTGTGTATCCTGTGACAACACCGGCACAGCAGAGTGTCACAGCAGAAACCAAAAGGAGATGTCAGTCTTCCGCATGCAGTCGCTGAGTCCATTGCTGCCAGCAAAGACTTAAACACCACACATTTGGTTATTACAAACAGTAGAGAGGGTATAACAAAAAGTTTAATATCATAGGAAGTCATGTTGTAATTCTTCAGTGCATTTCTTGAGCCATACCTGGTATACTGTGTTCAGTTTTGGTCTCTAAATTACATTATGTTGCTGCTCCTCAGGCAGTACACAGGACTGCAAACATTTATTCTAGTTCTGAAGGCAACATCAAACTCTGAGAGACTAACAACTAATCCTTTTTAGACTGGAACAGCGAGGCTCAGAGACTTGATTCAGATATTCAAAATCCCGAAGTGCATGGGTTAAGTCAGCATGGATCACGACCGCTTCAAACTCAGCAGTGAAACAAGGAGCCAGGCACACCAGTGGGGTATAAATTAACGAACACTTAAGACGAAAAACGAGACCCTTATTTACACAGAGGACTGGGAGAGTCTGAAACCAGCTCCAAAATTATGTGACTGAAGTGGAGTACATGGGATCCTTTAAAAACATAAGGGCAGAATTCAATCAAACTAACAGGTAACCAATCTACATGGGCCCACCAGCCACCTCATATTTGCAACCATTCTTACATAATGGGACAACAAAAGTGTAATAGGGTAGGAGAGAAGTCTGGAGTCACAGAATATTACAATCTCCCACACCTATTGAAAAAGCACATTCTTCTCAGCCAACTCAAAACTCCCACCCAGAAGAAACCTGATTAAACTGTCAAAGCAAATTTTCTTTTGGCACAAAGATGTTTGAAGCCTTTTTTGTTTTGTATCAAAGCAGCCCTGAACAGTTGTTTTTCTTCTTCTCCATTCGTCATTGCTTTGAAGTACACAAATGAAAAAAAAAATATTAAACTCCCACAACCTTTACAGTCATTAGTAGCTAGTCAGCTCACTTCAGGGTAAATCCGACTGGTGCACCGCAGCAAATCTGCAACTCCAATGTCACAATCTTGTCAAAATGTGGAAGTGAATGTGCTAAAATTAGCGGAAAAAAATAACAAAACCTAAGGCTTACGTGCCATCAGGTTTATCATTCCCATGGGTCAAACCAGTCTTCCTGCTCATAAAAAACAAAACTGATATGAAAAAATGTTACTTTTTTGTCCTTATCTGTCCAACAATGCCTTGCGGCACATTCTGAAATACTTTGAACTCTAAAAGCCCCAAAAAGTTTTGCTTTACAATTTCCCCTGCTTCCTTGTTAAAATGCAGAGAAAAATAATGCTCCATATAACACCACAGGGTTCCTAAAAACAAGCATTAGCAAGCATAGAACAGAATTTGCTGCAGGCAAGATTCAGTATTCTGGAAGGCAACATCTTTACTCTCTCCTTATCATTCACTGTCAGTTTTGATCACACACAGAGACGGAAAGCCTCAAGTTTTATATCAGCTATGCACCAGGTCATTATTTTCCACAGCCTTGACAATAAGGCAATGATCAAATCGTTTTTTTTTCCCCCTCCATTACACCTTACGCACTACTGTTTGGCATATTGAAGATTTCTGTTCCTGGAAGTCAGCTCACACAATTTGGGCTTTAGTTCGGTGCATTTAGAAAAGCCTATAACTGCCATTTCTTCACAGACCAGCCTTTAAATAAAACGTCATGGGTCGAGCATGCACTAAGGCTTCAGCATGGCCTAATTACCAATGAACTGAGACAACGTCAGACCTGTCAATCTGCAGAGCACATGCCAGGGACTGGGAGACACGTTGGATTGGCATTCTGCTTCCACAGGGTGACCGAGGGGGAAAGGGCAATCTGTTCTCAGAAGTGCACCTACCACCCCCTTTAACCGACGCCCACCCTTTTTAAGAAAGGTCCGAGTAAGTATTGCACAAACAAGTGAGGGGGCGGATGAATTAACAGCCATGTCATTTATGAAATAAATCCTTTATTAAACCTTTTTTCAAATAGTTTGGAAACATACCAGTTTTTACAACAACGCCTACAAAACCTACAAGGACACGAACCAAACATTACATATTTCTTAAAACCAGTAGCCAGAAGTCAAGGGCTGCAGTTCAAGTGCAAACGACTGGAGACCCCCTTGGGCTGTGCTGGGATGGCGCTGTGGCGCTACGTTTCTACTGACGATCAGGCTTCTTTCGCATCGTGAAAATACCAATCTCTTCAGAAATTGCTGGAACACTTCCAGATGGTCTATGCTGGCATACCACTATAAGGCAGAGGATAACACCTTCTAACATTCATACATGCCACAGGAGAGCTCCTTTTTACCTCCCCTTTTCTCTGTGCTTCCATACACAGAGTGGGAATCTGAGATGCGGAAATATTAGAAGTGCTTATACAACCTGAGACCTTAGGCCGTTTGTGCCGCACAACCATGGGATGTTAAGCCTTACTCAACCACCACCGAAAACCTATGGAGGACAAGCTCTTTAGATCTCCAAATGAAATTAGAACTGAACTGCTGTTGCTCTTAACTTTATTGCTTCATTATCTATAAAACGTTGACCAAACTCCTAGGTTTAATTTCTGTTTCTCCAGAAAGGCACTTTTCTTTAGCACCAAAAGAATAAAAAGCCCTAGACCTGATGAATTTTTATAAAACTGCAAAAATAACTCTCCCCCCTCCACCTCAGAAGCATATAACCATTTCTAACCCTCATATTGGGAGAATGCCATCAGTCTACATAGAACCCAGTCCACTCATTCAAAACAAATTGGTTTACACCAAATACAAGCCACAGCTGTTCCGTAGTTCTTTAAAATAAACAATCCACAATCAAAACAGCCCTGGCTTAAGGGGGTCTCCCAGGACCTTGGATAAGGAACACTGTTTAACCCTGTAGGTGCAGAAGGACTGGTGCCTGTATCTGGTGTCACTCCTGCCCAAATGTATGTAGTGGTGTATCCTGCGCCATCGCAGCCTCCTGTGGGGCTGCAGGCAGCTGCTCCTGAGTGACTTCTGATCCTTGGCCGGAGATTTCTGTGTACTCAGACAGGCTGTTCATGGTATAGTAGACGAACAGGAAGAAGCCAGCTAAGGCGAAGAAGACCAGGACCTGGATCCAGATGGGAACGAAACAACGCAACTCCTCTTGTTTCTCCTGCTGAAGGGGTCTAGAGTGGGGCACCATCTCGCTGTACTTGAACTGCACCGGGCGGCCTGCTGCACCCTTGATGGGTCTTCTGCGTGTGGCACTGGTGATGAAGAAAAAACACACGACAAAGAAGAACGAATGAGGTAATGCATGCAACTACATCTTTAGTGTCCAACCAGCAGTATTTCACCAATTATGACCTAGGTTGGTTGTCGCATTTAAACTGTACAATGTAAGGCTATGTGTTGGTATTAAAGAGCTACATGCCTGGCAACACTGGCCAATCCAGAACCGCAGGCTTGCATAATATTCACAATACCCAGTCCTTACACAAACGTGTTGAGCTTTTATTGTAACAGCAAAGAAAATGACAAATGTTTCAAAGATAAAAAAAACAGCTTATTAAAAAAGTGTTATTGTCCTAATGCTGATTGATGTCACTAGCTGTTGTTACAGTACCAAAGTGCACACTTTTAAGACTTGTGTGAGTTGAGGGGCATTATATACATACAGCAACAATCATTTGAAAGCCAAGTGCAGCTGCCAACACAGTAGGGGTGGATCACGAGAATTCCAAGCGGCGAGTGCTAAATAGTTTTCCAAATTCACCGTTAGATTAACCCTTTATCATTCACAGAAGCAGAAAGGCAAAATAAGTAAATATTTCAGGAGTTGTTCCAGATAAGACACCCTAGCAACATGACAAAGGAATGTCATTGAATACGACAGGCTAACACAACATTCTGAAAAAAATAAACAGCGGCTTTGACTTAAGTGGTTGAGCAGCCAAATCTGACAGCAAGTAACAAAGTAGGATTTTATAATGCCAGGATAACTCAGAGCAGGGGATAGAGCATTGCATAGAATATATTTTTTAGTTCATTTTCACTCTACTTTCCAGGCACATGGATATGAGCCAATTAAGACAGTTAGCAGCCAGCTATATTTCTTACAGCATAAAAAGCAGGAAATGGGGACACTAAAGATATGCACTGCATAACGTTCCTTTGGAGTTCACTAAAATATTTCTCCTTTCTACCATAGCCAGCAGGTTGTCTTATCATAAAGCAACAACTGTGAAGATCATGTAAATAACAGCTGAGAAGCATGCATGTTTTGTTACTGACAATTTTAGCATTTAAGGATGGGATGTTTGCTTTTTTTTTGTGAAAAGGCAAACATTCAGAAAGACACAAAGAAGTCTATTGTCTCGGCTGATGTTATCAATAAGAACGCCCACGTATGCCACGTTTTTATCAAGATATTTGTACATGGCAACAGTAAAGTCCAGAGAGAGAAACAAATTCAAAAGTCATATGCATTAGTGTAGCCATGGTTCCCTCAGAGAACTCGTGGGTTTCATTAATGGCATTCTTAGACAGCATGAGGCTTGTCCCAGTCTCCTGAAAGGGGCCATTAGTCCTGACTGGTTATTGCTGACATTCTAACTCCAGTAAAATGAAACGACAGCCGACTCTGGGACTGCAAAGCTTGTTAAAACATAAGGACTGACTAGAGAAAGCTTTAAATCATCTGCTGCAGACTGCCCACATTATTTATGAATAACTACAAAGTATGTTACAATATGCGACAACGTGCTGGCAGTTACCCAAATCACCTTGCACAAAAACAAAAGAAAATATTAAAAGACTCATTTACAGTTTTGTAACAGGAGCTATTCTGCAGACATATTGTATCTCAATATATTACAATGGTACTATTTTAAGCCACGTTTGAACAATATATTTAATGTACATTAATTATTTTTAAACAGTATTTAATACTCCCAAAGTGTGGATAGTGCAATAGAAATAACCTTTTCTTTGTGTACCCTACTCTATCTCACAACATTTGGATATGTTTCTCGTGTGGCAATTGCAAATATCTACACATGGGGTCTATACGAGATCTGACTGGGTCTGTATTGTTGCTGCATTTTCCATCAATTACATCCTGTGCTTTAAGGAAAAAAAAAAAGATAATTAGGGAGTCCAAAAAGGTGTTCCCCAATCAAACGCCCACACCTTAAAGGGTTTTCATTTTGGTAGTGGGTGGGCTGGACTCCAGTTACCTGATGCCCGTTGGGGTGCGAACTTCATCAGGAAACATCTCCTCCAGGACATCCTCCTTCCTGGGCCTGTATTCTCCCTGGCGACACAAAGCACAGTGATTAGTCAGAACCCAGGCCTGCGGTGCCGAGAGAGAGTCAAACTGCAGATGCCACAGGTCAGAGAGAAAGAGCCGGGATCTGGCTAGGAAAGTGAGAGATCCACACACGCAGTGCAAAGAGATGCCAACACCATAGCCGCCCCCTACGTGTGTGACAGCCTGGAAAAAACAAAGAATCTACTGTTTATTAGGAAAAAAGAATGGTGGTTATCAGAACAAAAAAAGATGAAAACGTAAGGACTGTTTTGTATTTATGCGTTGCTGCATTAAACACTACATTAACTACATCATGTTTATGTCTTGAAAAACCACAGGCCAGTGTACAGGAGTGCCTTCAAGACGTACAGATCAAGTGAGAATTGACTCAGTAAACCAAAATTAAGTTAGATGAAGCAACAGACAGCCTAGATGGAATGGAAACCACAAGATTCTATCCCAGACCCCTGCGCTACAGGGTTTCAAGTGCCCTCCTAACGGCAGGTCAAGCCCAGTGGCATCGACCAAACAGCAGGCAGGCCTCTGCACTGAAGGGATTCGCTAGATTATATCCCTCACTCCAGCACACAAGCATCAAAAGGTGACCTTAAATCGGCTGGCAAGGGTACAGGCTGTTCCATTTCTTTTTTCTACTGAGAACCCATGGCAACATGCAGATTTGACCGCAGATGAAAAAGTATGGCCTTACACCTGCAGTGATTTATCTGTGATGTGGCATCCAGAGGTCTCTCTCAAAGCCAAATTATTAAGACAAAAAAATAAAAAAAGCCCCTTTCATACATTGCATAATAATATTTCTTATTGCAAGTCGTACATAGATTTAAATGGAAACAATTATCGAACAGTGCCTTGAATAATTTTTAGCCGTTTAGACAGATGTAAAAATATTTTTGGTACTTCAGTGCATACACAACTACCAACACACATACAGTCAGGCTGTGAAAGCGTAAAAAAATGATATTCAAAAGGAATACAGACAGTGGCCACAAGAAACCAAAACATAATTTGAAAAATAAAATGTAGAATAACTCCCTTAACCCCTCTCCACAGAGAAAGTTACAAAAACTGTTCAAAGTAGTTTTTGAAAATAAGATTCAGCTAATAATGTTAAGTCCAACTCAGCTTTAAGGCAGAACGTGCATACTTTAAAGCAGTACTCATACACTGGGTAATAAATAAAAACAGTCTTTGTAACAATCTGAAATCCAGACAGAAACTCAAGTGAGTGCTCTTGTGTCCTTCAACAAAAGGCACAGAAATAACACAATAAAATGATCTGCCTGGATGTCCCGTTCAAGAAGGGAGCCCTTGAGTGCATGTTTTGGAGTGTTGCTCGTCATCGTATCCTTGTCCACCATTATCAGACCCTGTCAACATAATTATAAAAAACAATCAAAGAGTTCCATCAGCATGGAGAAACAGTCCACCTGGACAACAATCAAGCCAGTTAAATGACAAACAAAGACCCAGTACAAATGAGCAACCTAACCCCTTCAAGCACACATATATTATACGCTAAATCACCCAGTCTTTCAAAACGTGCCAGCACTTAAAGGGAAATAGTGACGAAAGTCTTATCTATGCCTAAGCAGTTGGAAGCACGGAAATGAATAAAAGACTTCAACTGAGGACTAAGACTGAGTATAGACACTGGGAGGTAAGAGCTGAACATGTGTTTGGAAACACCACAAACCTGATTTCTGTACAGACCTTCAGTAAAAATTGGCTTTATAGCTCAAGGGATACGGATGAGTGTCTCAAACTGATAGGTTACTTTTTTCATGCAATTCCTTCATGACAACTCTCTGCCACAGCAAAGTAAGACTGGAATCAAACCCCCAGCTTTTTACCCTGTGGCATGCCAATTAAATTTATTTTTGTGAATCATTCAAATGTCTCATAGAGGGACAGGTAGCAAAAGGCTTGATGTGGCTGCTGTCATCGACAATGAAGCCTTCAATGGTTCACGTGTTCCAAAGACAATTTCCCATTCCATGTCTGCACTACAGAAAGAATATCACTATCTTGCCCTTCATTTTTTTTAAATTATTACCTTAAATCTTCAATGAAGAAACTCAAGTATCTCAACAGTGCAGTAGTTGAAAATTTGAATTGTGTATTGGAATTCAGATCTGATTTAGCACAAATATTATCATCAAAGGCACAGCTGAGATGCAAATCGAAAGACTAAGGAGATCCCCAGCATCACATAACTCTGCCATTAAATATTAAAACTGCCTGAAGCACAGTACTGACCCCCTTCATCTTTGGACTCGCAGTAATGCAGCTCGGGTCACTGCCTCTTCTTGGAGGCTTTAAAGGTGGAGTAGATGGTGATCTGCTCTCCAGCTGCATTTGAAGTAAAAGCAGAGCTGTCATCAAGCCTTGAACTTGAGCCCACATCAAACCTACACTCTGCCAGGAAATTTAGCAAGAAGCTACCAAAGCAAGCTAAATCAAATCAAAAAAAGTCTTCTGAGAAGTGCTGAATTCAAGACATCTTTTGAAGCTGCATTTGATGTGTATATACAAAGATCCCTCAAAAGTAAAGCCAGAATCTTAATCCTCACCATGGTAAAACTCTTTCATGCATACTATTTTTTTAACAAGTTTTAAGGCTTACTGTTCCATAACACAATGTGTTCTTTAGTGAACACAATGTGTTACTTACATTAAAACTATTCATTATTATGACTATATCTAATATATCTAATCCAATGCTGAACGTCAGTCACAAAATTAATCAATAAATTGATACATAAATATTAAACACACTCCAAGGTGTACAGGTAGAAATTTGTAGACATTATGCCAATGGTGGTGTAACTGTTTGCTATTACTCATAGTAATGGTGTTTACTATGATCCACTGGTCACAAACTCTCATTTCTAGTGAAACCAACTTTTTGCTAGGTATATAATCAAATCCTCCAAAAGCATCGCAGAGTATATTTAGATCCTTTTGGTAACTTGGTAAAATCCAAGTGTCCATAATTAAATCTGAATATTTATTTAAACAGATCAACTATCTGCTAAATAATACATCAGAACTACTGTATATAAATTTCTATAACGTATTATACAAGGGGGGTTCCTCTCTAAAGGATTTCAATCCCACTGTTTTTTACTCAGTCAGAAACCTCCCTCCTCGACCAGTTTTGTGATGCTGAAAACGGCTCCTGCAGAGACAGCAGGACTGGCAGCATTACTGGCCTGCAGGGATGAGTACAGAGGAGGGGACACCTGGCAGGGAAAGAAACAGAAACACTATCTAACAGGCCATGACAATCTGAGACAAGCTTGTGCACAAATGAAAGATACAGAACTACTATAATTAGAAAATATTCAAACTCAAAACATCTGCAGTACATGTCCACACTTAAGCCATGATCAACTGAAAACTTACATCAAGTGGTCCTGAACTAAAAAGCCAGGACTTCGATGGATTTGTAAAATAAAAATAACACAAAAATCTGATCAAATTTCATCCTACAGTTTGTCCTCCCCAGTCATAAACTAGTGCACTTAATTCTGAATCAACCTGCAAGTTTAAGCTAAAAAACTAAAGTACAGAATTACATTTATTTATGCTGAAACACTCTCCTTTCAAGAATGCCAGCTTAACATGCGTGGGTGGTCATCATAATAGCTGAAATTATCAAAGTAAAGAGAGACACAGAAGCTGTAAATTAAAGCACAGAGTGCCGGAAACTGAGCCAAAAATAAAACGGGCAGAAAAGAATGCCTGAGATGATTGTTAAATGTGTTCCAGTGTGACATCTGGGAAATTGTACAATGACAAGCAGCACTCGCCTCCCTAGAAACAGTTACAGAATGAATATTTAATTGGCACAAACCTAAACTTCCTAGTACACATCTTTTAATAAACAAGCCAAATCCAGTTCAGCTATGAGCTACAGAACACACCAACAGAAACATAAACATACCTCAGTTGTGGCATGCTAAATGAATGCGTCCAAGACAGTACACAGTCCTAATTACTGAACTAATTAAAAAAAACATGTTTGTCCCCAGCAGAAACACCCTTATTCAAAATGTGAAGATTTTTTTCCCCCAAATTCCAATTCTCACTTTCGGGTTTTTAAATTTTTAAGTAGAAGGAATGCAGTTTAGGTACATTTGTATTGATCAAATACACAAAACAATAAAGATTAACAGCCAATTATTCATAGCACAGCTTTCGTAATGGGCTAGTATAGGACAGACAGGGCTGGTGCTTGCTGGTGCGTACCCCAGGATCTGCAGGTATTCCAGTGAAGGTGGCCCTTTGAATAGGAGCAGACTGTGAGCCAGGACCTTGGCTTTTATCTGGTGTGGACACACACTCACCAGCAGGATTATTCCTGAGCTTGGGGACACAAACAGACATCACAGACCCCCATTACAAACAACAAGCTTGTTGAAAGACGCAAGAACAGTGCACTGAGGAGATCGGTGAACAGCTTGGATAACAGTGTGTCACTTTCTCAAAATGTCTGTCTGTGGCAAAGCCTAACTCAGGACAGGTTTCTGACCCTATATGAAGAGATCTGAATTGTGACTCCTCAGGAGATAACTTCCCAATGCATGGGCCCACATCCAACGTCACTGAACGAGGTGAGAAACAGCTGGGAAAGTTTTTCATTGCAAAAAACTATGAATATTAATGTGAGAAAAATGGGTCAGAGTAATTTTCTGTAGTTCCCGCTCTTAAATTTACCTCTTCCTGAAAATATTGACTTGAACATTCAGTATTTTTTTACTTTGAAGATGTTTCCCTTGGGTAAATCCCCAACCCATGGCTCTCTCTTACACTTCCTGTCTTTTAAAATGAAGCTTGTTTCCCCAACAAAGTGTTTTTTCCAAATACCCAAAAAAGGTATAGGAACACACACACACAAGAAAGGTTTCCCCAGCACTCCCAGAAACAGTTCTGCATTCAGTAAATCCCCAAAAGAAAAATCACCTTCACTGTTCTTTGACAAGCTGAGAAACACTGTGGGTAGAAATAAAAGTCCTCATCATTCTTTGGAGGACTGCCTTCCTGTTAAAGCAGGAGACAAACAAATTAGCCTCTTTTTGTGCAAGAGCTGTTCATTTATTTCACCATGGGATACGCCTGCAAACTCCTCAGCATCGGGCAGGAACAAAGACCGGAGGGATGGTGCAGACATGGTCACATCCTTATTGCACAACGTTTCCATCAGAGCCAACTCTCGTCTGAGGATCATTTGTGCTTCTTGTCTGAAGTCCTTTTACTGGATGCTTGGACAGAGACCCACTGAAGGCAGGAAGGATGCAGGGGTGGAGGAAATGTCATGTATTGATCTGATTTTGATAGTTTACAACCCCCCCCCACCCAAAAAAACAAAAACTGGACCTCAATGTTTATTCTGTGTTTGTGAACCAATGTTCAAAAATGTCACCGTCAAAAAACAGCTTCCTTTCCAGTACTGAAATCTGTGCTTGTGAAATCTTAAGTGCAGTTACGCAAAGTACCACAAGATAGCACTGCTGATTAAGAAACAACTATTTGGGCACACACTTCCATTGATGCCTCAATTATGGGCCGTGCAACTCACTTGAGATCCTACAGGTTTGAGGACCTGTTCTGCACTTTTGTGTGAGAATTGTAAAAGAGAACTACAACCATCTACACTAACGTGTACGAACAGACACCCATCTTCTGCTGTGCTGATGAGGACTTCAAATACATGTTTGTCTTCGTCACCTTCTGCACTGCCGTTTGTTCATTTATTACTGTGGCAAAGCCAGCATCAACTAAATACTTGAGCAACTACATGCATGAGCAGTGAAAAAGGTTCTCCTATATATGTCCCCATCGGAGTCAGAGAAACGTTTAACACACTGGGAAAACATTAAGGGGAATGCTTATGTATATTCCCCATTAATGGTTTAGAGCACTGTAAAACCCAATTCCCTCTTATGAAAATGAATAGACACTTGAGCCTGAGTGTATAATTTCTCAATACTGCTATTTCACCTGTGGATTTAAATACAGCACAACACAAACACACAGCGTATTAGTACCTAAAACCATGAGGACACAGCCGGGGTACTCACCCTGTGCTGGCTGAGCTGACTGTGACCATGGTGAGCCCTGCCGGTGCCTGTCACAGCCCTCTGCGGTTCATATTCTGAACCTGTACGAGATATGCATCGCATCAAGAGTGTGAAAGATGACAGTGTTTAATGCTGAAAAGAAAGGTCGAGTCAATTCTTACAGATAACACACAGCCACTGTAAACGGCTAGATAAAGACAGCATAGTAATGAGCTACTGGGGCACAAACTGACAAGTCACAAATTAACAAGTTAAACACATCACAACGCCAAGGACTGAAATAAACAGACTTCTAGGAGTGTTCCTCTTAAAGGGCAGTACCGGCTATTTCAAGTCTCACAAGCTGACATATACAGGCCAATACGAAGTGTATTTCAGGTTTGCTACAAACGAAGCATGCCTTGACATGTGGCATAAACACTAAAAATGTATATGGGTATGGAATTAGTAAAATGAAGAAAACCATTATGCAACAAGGTTTATTTTCAGCCCTGAAAGGGAACAGTCTTCTAGAAAATTCAAAGCAACTGGCTGCTACTGACAAACTAACACAGACACAGACTGTGCGTTAAAGAGCACGTAGCAAGCAGGAGAGCGATCTGCGGCAGTACCCGTCTCGTCCTCCTCGCTGTCGGAGTACTGACTGGCATCATGGGTACTGTTCTGGGCGAGTTCGGGGGCTGGCTTCCGGCTGGGGTCCACCAGCCTCTGCAGCTTCTTCTCGTAGAGGGCCCGCGTGGACGCTGACAGAGACAGACGGGACACTCCGTCAGCACACCCCGCCGCCCCCTGTCCACGCGTCCCCTTCTACTGACCTCCAGGCTGTCGAGTAACAGCTGACACAGGGGCTCAGATACACTTCCACAGACAGTTCGCTGTACCTGTGTAACTGCCAGCACCGTCCTTGTACTTTAAAACATTCACTGTATAATTCACCAACAAGCACTAACTAGGTAATCCCAGGGCAACCAAGTACAGTCTTGTAGAGCTACAATTCATCAGCTTTTATTTATCACACTAAAGCACCAGCTTCTAAAGATTTGGAACAATTACAGTACATCACGCAAGCAGCCTGTTCAGTTCATTCATTTAGAAATCATTTGGAATGAAAAGCCCAACACCCTTAAGGAAGAGAGCTGGCTGCTCTTCCTTTAATTGAACAAATTAATTACTTGCTACATTGATTAAAACTGCTCAAGTGTTCCAAGTATTTACAACCTGAAGATTACAGAATGCCTGTCAAAACATCAGACTCTGGCTCTCCAGCGTCACTGCTGGCCACCCCAGAGATCGTCATTTAACATCAAATGTTTTACAATGGGCTTCGAGAGAAATGCCACGCAACGTACAAAAAGACCTGTTAATGTTAATGCTACTCTTCCCAGCAGGCAAGTGAGCAATCCTGCTGTTTCAGTGCTACTCTAACAGGAAAACATGAATGAGCATGCGTTTAGCACAGTGTGTTAAATCTGGTTGAGTGTTAAACTAACCTCTATGTTAAATACTTTTATGCATTTTTAATGCGAAAAATCATCTCAATCACCTCACTATAACTACATTCAGTCAACTATACCCATCCATCCATTTCAGCTTCTTTCAATATAGGGGCGCGATGGGGCCAAACCTATCCCAGCAAGCAACTGGCGCAAGGCAGGGTACACCCTGGCCAGGATTCCAGTCCATCGCAGGGCAGACAGACAAACACAGACACGCACACTCACACCAGGGCCAATTTTCCCAGAAGCCAGTTAACCAACCATCGGGTCTTTGGACTGCGGGAGGAAACCGGAGCACCTGGAGGGACGCCCACTCAAACATGGGGGGAACATACAAACTCCACACGGATAGCAGCCCAGGCCTGTAACTGAACCCAGAGCTCCAGCCCTGCAAGACAGCGCTGCTAGCCACCATGCTGCTGCCAATCCAACCCTCTGCACTCGGTTCTCAAATCATGTTGCAATGACAATGGAAGGAAGCAAAGTACAGCAGCCATATCATAGCCAGCAGCCATATCACCCTGCAACTCACAACTGGCAGCCCACTGAAGCTCAGCAGGTGTGAGCCTGGTCAGTACCTGGATGGGAGACCTCCTGGGAAAAGCGAAGGTTGCTGCTGGCAGAGGTGTTAGTGGGGCCAGCAGGGGGTGCTCACCCTGCGGTCCATGTGGGTCCTAACGCCCCAGTATAGTGACGGGGACACTATACTGTAAACAGGCGCCGTCCTTCGGATGAGACGTAAAACCGAGGTCCTGAGTCTCTGTGGTCATTAAAAATCCCAGGGTGCTTCTTGAAATTTCCAATTGGCCCTTACCAATCATGGCCTCCTAATAATCCCCCTCTATGAATTGGCTACATTACTCTGCATTACTCTACATTACTCTCCCCACTGATAGCTGATGTGTGGTGAGCGTTCTGGCGCACTATGGCTGCCATCGCATCATCCAGGTGGGGCTGCCCCCATTACCTGTGGAGTCCCCATTACCTGTAAAGCGCTTTGGGTGGAGTGTCCAGAAAAGCACTATATAAGTGGAAGCAATTATTATTATTACAGTGACTACCTGTCCTTACCTACAATGGGGCCTGGCTTCACTCCATGCTTTATCAGCTCCCCCTTCAGCTGCTCATCAGTCAGCTGGTAGACATCCATGACTTCTGTATTTTTGTCTTCGTCTTCCTCTTCAATAACAGTTTCCTGTGGGAGAGAGAGAGCCCCAGCCTCATTACTTATACTGATTTAATCCTATAATCCAAACATTTTCAATTTTCTCATGGCCAACAAAAATGCTTTTTAAGAGAACACACATTGTGAGCTTGTAACTTTTAGATATAAGCTAATAAAGCGCATCCGTTTAAAACTGTCTGCTCCAATACATGTCAACGATGACAGTTCCTGACATGTAGTATCCAGGCTCAAAAGTACTGCGTCTTTTGAAAACTGTCAAGTAGGTCCTACTCCAAGCACTGCTTTGAGGCTCTGGCGTATATAACCAACAGCTGGCTCTGGCTTCACATGCTTCAGCTTTCTTTTGTTTCTTCTTTTAAAATGTGCACTTTCAGCAATGAAAATAAAATCAAAATTAGGATTCAGCACTCATTATCCCACTGTGTGTGGCTCTCCCTGCCTCTTCCAATTCTGTCAACCTGGATTTGTCATTGACTGCTCCAGGTGGGACTACAGACCACAGTAATGTGCTTTCACAGATTGTTAGCTTCTCTGCTGCAAGGCAGTGTGTGTGTGGGGTGAGGGGGGGGGTCTCCCTTGATTTTGGATAAAGAGCCACATGTAACCGCTTGGGTCTGAATAGAACAGGATAGAAGAATACTGGTAACTATCCTTGTTCAGCTGTTTTATTCAGAAAGGACACAAAATGACACCACAGCTTGCTTTCTCTTCATTTGCTTTCACATTTATTGAAACAGATCAATTATGCTAGCCCAGCACGAACAAGCCTCATTATTCATGACCGCATGCTAGCTATGCAAGAGAAGAGAGGTGCTGCACAGTAACTGTGCTCTCCAAGCAGCAACTTCAAAATCTTATTTCCTGCGACAGTGATGCACTACCAGGCATTCAACTTCAAGAACAAGGAGACGAGCACCGCGAGGTCAATTCTTACATGCATAAATTAGCCACTTCTTTCTTTCGAAACATCTGCAAGACTAAGCAGCACAGGTGTTCGTTATCCAAGCTGGTACACTAGGAAAACAGCCACATCTGGTAAACTGTTTCTGCAATGAAATATTTAAAAATAAAAGATTCTCATTTCCCACTAAGAGTGGGGTAGCAGAACAGGCACACAAGACAATTCTAGATTTAAAAGGATTTCTTAAACGGAGTGCATAAGCCATGAGCCGAACCTTAACAGCAGCAGCATCAGTTTATGACCCCACTGAGCTTCTGCGGGGGTGGGTGTAATGTAACTGAAGCACAACGATATAATCGCAAAACTGAAGCGACAATTGCATTTGCAAGGCTGTTTCTCAATCCTCACTTAATTTGTTCATTGTCAAGTTACGCGTTTCCATCAAGCCCGTCTGGCACGACTGGCATATTTCAGGTTGCTCTTCAACCCGTACCGGGTGTGCGGGCCAGCAGCAAGATCCAAAGGGAAGACTGCAGAGGCTCACGGAGCTGGAGAGTTTGTGAGGGGTACCATCACATATACTGTATAACCAGAAACATGCCTCACACAGGGCAACAAGATCGAGCAACGACATGCACTATGAAATTCAACTGCATTCACCGAGAGCACAGCATGGACAGGACACGATGATTAAGGAATCATACGTTTTAAAAATATGACATCTTCTGAGGACAGTAGATTCCAACAGTGATACACAGCACACAGGGCACACAGCAGTTAGGACAGAGGCCAGGAAGATCCATTAGGAAAGGGTGAAACTAATTCTGAATCAATGCAATGGAAAACTCAATGCACCTAAACAAGCTGTGACAGTTATGTCAAGAAACAAAGCACAAATCTTTTTTAAAAAAAAAAAACAAGTGCCTTTCACCTGCTCCAGAAAGTTTCTTTTCAAATTGTAAAATACAGTTGAATACACGGCCCTGCCCTATTCACAGAGCACACACAAAAAAAAAAAGATCTTCAAATCTTATGACCTATACCAGCCCCTTCTCCGGGGCCTCTCTGCCACTGCTCTGCACAGCTTCTCGTCTGAACTTTAACTCTGACCCTATGGAAGGCACGGTATCAGTTGCTGCTGCTCTGTGACAGCTGCAATCCATGCTTCAAGTCAGCAGGTGCTGACTTCAGCTTTGCAGTAGGAGAACACTCGAATAAAAAAAAATAAAAATACTGCCCACCAACCAGCAGGAGGTTCACAGTCCTTATTAACCAGTTCCCTCCTGGAACATGCAAAACACAAAAAACAAACAAAAAAAAGACAGCTCTTTGAATAACCTGCATATATCCAACAATATATACTCCAGGCAGTACCAACTTGTGAAATTTGTCAGTGCTGCAGAAATTCGCACTGCTAACGTGTAGAGGGAGCCTACTCTACAAAGGGAAGGCTTTCCAGTGTCGCTGACCCATCAGCTGCAGTTGACTGAACTGCTTCAATCAAAAATAAAATTAAAAATCAAATTATATTTACAAAAGTAGTATAAAAGTGCCCCCCCCCCCACACACACACCAATACTGTGTTTGGTGCCATAGCTTTGCGATATGGGAATCCATGCTGTGAAAAGCACCAAAGACAGGCCGGCTATGATTAGAAAGCAGCAGATCATCGCCAGGATTCTCAAGATCCTGTCTCCTCATACTGGATCAATGTGCACAGCAGGCCTATCACACTTCAGCAGTTGAAGGAAGAAAAGCAGCAGGAACACTCATACTAGACAGGCAAGGGACACTCTTCAACATGCAGCCCTGCTGAGACGCAATAAGTACCCTGGCCCCTCTACCCAGGGATAAATGTCTCCAACAACTGCTGACACAAGGGATCTTTACTTATATATTTACCATATTATTCACGGCGTGCAGAAGTGTTAATGGCTAATGTTACGGTGGCCAAACAGGTCTTTGATTTGGAAACTGAAAGACTAATTCTTCAGGGTTCCTCCACATACAGGCACACACAAGAAGGCAGCTGTATTTGTTGCTGTGATTAGAAATGGCAGCTCAGAAACACCTGAAAATGAATCTAAAGTGCTGCCTTTTTGCAATGCAATTAAGATTAGCGAAAGTCATTCCATTCCAGACAGACCGCAGGATGTGTGAGCCTGAAAACAACACAGGGAACAGAGACTCAGGAATAATCACAACTCAGAGCATCACTGCAAAGTAAAAACATGTCCATGCATACTAATTCCTCTTGAGATGTTTTTTGTTTGGTAAATGTAGCAGTTTTAACAGAAGCTTCAAGAAATAAATCTGGGCTTTTTTTGTTTCATGTGAAATCACTGAGCCTCCGCGGTTTGCATCAGCTTGAAGATGCAAGCAACTGTCCATTCCCTACTGCTCTAATTAATTTGTGATTGCTTAGCCGATGTGCAATTCGCCAGAAAGTGCTTCACCACATTTCCACTGGGATGCAAGCGGGCAAACTGCTTTCAAGACCGCTGGCTTGCCGCTAACAGGAAAACAAGAATGCAATATCAAAGAAAAATTGAAAAAGATTGTCAGCCCATCCTATACCAATCTTTTGTGGGGAAATGCTCGTATATGATACGGTCTATAGTCACCACACTGATGATGGCAAAGTTACATATTCAAAAATGTTGCAACGGATTAACATTAATCTCAAAAACTATTAACTGCATTGCCCCCACAATAAGAGTTGTAAATATCATCCCGTTCTCCTCACTTGAAGAGGGCAGTGGCTTGCAAACTGTAGTAAAATTCAATAATCTGGGGTGAAGTCATCTGAGCTGTACTGTCAACCCATCGCACTAAATGCTGAAGGGTTTCTAATAGATAAAGTAAAGAAAGGGGACGAACTTGCCGTCTCTCAAGTAAACATTATAAATCAGAACCAATGCATCCTTACAAGTTCGCCTTCGGGCGCCCCGTCCTCCTCCTCCTCGTCGCTAGAGAAGTCCGCAGGCTTTTTGTGGGCTACGTGTTTCAGGTAGAGCTCCAAGTAAACCTGCTTCTTCTTCTCTCCCGGAGGCAGCGGCACGCTGTGGGCCACCAGCTCCGACTTCAGCCTCTCCTTGGAGAGCAAAACGGGGTCGTCGACAAACACCGGCATGTCCGGGCTGGGGAACACGGGCCCAGAAGCCTCTCTCCGGGACGCGGCGCGCTTGTGACGACGGGAGGCCGACCCCAGCCGGCCCTACTCCCCTGGCGCAGTGAGGGCCTGTCCTGCCACCTGATCCCTCCGGCGCAAGGCTGCACCAGCAGCTGTTCAGTCCACTACAAGCTCGTCTTTAAAGAAACCCCTGACTGTTTTGTTTTTCGGGGGGGTAGGGGCGAAGAAAAGAGAAATGACACCCCTCATTTCCTCTCCACCCCTCCCGTGAAGAAATAGCCTCTTGAACAAGCGGCGCAAACCGTACCCACAGGCGTAACAAGGAAAAAACTGACAATCTCTAGTCACACCATCCAGTAATTGCGTGAGGTTGAAATGAAAAAAACCCCAAACAATCTCACTCTATTTTTACATAAAAGCAAACAACTTAATTGAGCTGACCACAGGTGATCTCATATTTGATTCTGAAATACTTTTGCGCTGTCACGCAAGGTCGAGACCTATGACCATAGAAACTCAAATTTATACTATAAATTTATATGTACACATTATAGATAAAAAGAAACATGCATAGAAATTTGACTACAAAGAGCTGTGTCGAATCTGGGCGATTAAAAAAAAACTTACATTTACGTGTAAAACGCAGCCTTTTTTACCACTAAATCATCAACCAATTTTAAACCATTGGAGTGCAGTTTCCTTGTAACTAAAACACGATATTTTTGCATACCGTGCGATAAAAAAACTGTTTTATATTAAAAATAAAAACCATCACGTCATTGTATAAGTTTGCGCTATATTACACAATCAAAATACATGTCGCAAAGTTGAAACAATCGTACTTTTAAAAACACGTAAAAAATACCTTTCCACCTACCTTCTCAGACAGTCCTTGCTTGTCTTAATTATAAAGATATATTTCACAGACACCACAAACTTAATTTTAAGATAAAAAAGTTACATTAATATTAAAATTTATATAGATTCTGTTATAATAAAGATAAAAATCCTGTTGCGGCTTAAGCCTTTCGCCTACTAACTCAAATTTGTGCGGTCGAAACCACTTCAACAAAGTAGCTAAAAACTATACTACAGTAGTTTTAATTTTAGATTGCCTTTGCTGTCTTAATATGTTTATACTAATCGAATTATAGAAAATGGAATAAAAATATCCAGTGATAACCATGTTAATTAAAAACAAAAATACAGGTATCATTTGCAGTGTACTTCTCACGTCTTTAGTGGTACGATCCACAAACACGCCTTCCTTCCTCCTGGCACTAATTTAATAATTATAACTTCCAGCCTTTATACAGCGCGTTTCACCCGAAAAGATCCCAAAGCGCTTTTCAGATAGCAAGGGGACCCACTTCATCAACCACAGTCAAGCGATAAATTCCGTTACTGAGTTAAAGGGGGGCTTTAGGTAGGTTGTTATACACACACCCGGAGCTGAATTTAACATGTTACGCCATTAAAACACCAACTCATTGCCATCAAATCATTAAAGAGCAGTTACCCGGGATCCTCGGTTTTAAGTCACATCCAAAGAGTCCCTACAGCCCAGTATCCCCATTCGCCAAACTGCAGCATTGGGTTGGCCATTGTGGTCCAGTGCCACAGTCACGGTCATCAGGCGCGCCTGAAATGACTCCAGTAAAATCTGCTCATATCGTACCTTCATAAAAATGTGTTTCTTTAATGTACACAAAGACTTTTCATTCTGTATTGAACTGAGATAAAGAGGGCACTCATGTGCGCAGTAAACTCCACTTCTAAAATTTGAAAGCTTATCTCTCCTGCTCCCTATTCATCTCCTGAAAATAAATCCCTTCTATGTAGGCATATATTAAATACTTTTTAATCCTTTTGTATGCATATATATTGTATTGTAGGAAATGTTGGTATTCTTATTTGCATCAATATGCCCTTAGAAAAGGGCACAGACAATGAGAAACAATCCATCCATGTTCTAGCTGCTTCTTCTAATTCAGGTGAGCTGGAGCCTAGCCCGGCAAGCAACAGGCACACCAGGACACACCCTGGACAGGGCAGTCACAGATATGGACACACACTCACACTCACATCTAGGCACAATTCTCACAGAAGACAATTCACTTACCAGAAGGTCACTGGACTGTGAGAGGAAACTGGAGCACCCAGAGGTAACCCACATGAACACATGGAGAACATGCAAACTCCACACAGAGAGACCCCCCCAGGAATGGGTCCCAGGGGCCCAGTGCACACTGCACCATGAATAATAATAATTCAAACCCTCATCCTTAATAGATTCATAAAGTCCCACAGGACTCTGGGACCATATCCTCGCCCAATACAGAATATCATCCAGACTCCCAGCAATCTTTGTGGAAGGAGTTTGGGAGGTTATAAACAGGAGTATTTGAAGATCATTGTAATTTATACATGTATTAATCATGTGAGGTGAAAAATGTTATTTGTGCTAGACTTTATTATAGGACACAATTTAGAGGCATTCATCATAGATGTTTTTTTTATTAAAGAATTAAGAATGCTCCTCAATTTTAATACAGTCAGTGAGGTATTGAAAGCAATAAAATATTGATCGTCCAGGTTAGCAATTAATAACTGGTTATGACACCAAACAGTAAATTAACAGTAAATGTCACATTAAAACACAGATCTTTTTTGGTGCAATAAGTTTCATATCTGAATTATAATGTCAAGAACTGACGACAATACATCTGCCTTTGTAGGCAGGTAATACATTAAGAACTATAATTTCCCAGCTGGCTATGAAGCCACTTCTGAGCAAATCAACTGTGAAAGATGCACCAGAGGACACAAAGGAAAAGTCATGCCAACTGCATTTCAAACTGGAAACAAGAAGTACTTCTTTACACAAAGGGTTGTGGCAGTATGGAACGAGCTACTGGGCCATGCTGCTGAAGCCAGTTCCCCGGCTGCTTTCAAGAAACAGCAGGACAAGAGCCTCTGATCAATTAAACACTTTGAACTAATTGAGCTACATGGGCCAAATGGCCTTCTGCAATCATTCTTATGCTCTTACGATGAAGTGTATTGAACTTAGTGAATGGGCTATTATCTTCAAAGGGCAGAACAGAAAAAAACATGACTTTCTTTCATCTCTACCGCCTCTTTTCAGATCCCCACCATGTGCTGTCGGTCCTGCAAATGATGTCCCACAAGCTGTGGTTTGGGTTGGGGGTCAGTGGGGAGATTGGGGTATAGGAGCACACTTGACTTCTCTCAGCTCCACATGCAACCAGCTAGGTTTTTAACAAATAAATAAAAAAAAGCCAGACCTTCATTAAGATGGTTTGCATTTATTGATTCATTTCCAGAAAATGCAAAGTCGATTTTTGTATGCATGGATTAGTCTTCATGCTTGCTTCTTTGTCATTGAAGGCTCAAAGAGCTTCTGTTTTTGTTTTTTTTTCCTCCCCTCCAGGAGCAAAAATCCATCAATAAAACACACACACACAAAAAGCGAAGCAGCGGTGACCCGCAGTGAAAGGAATGCAGATTGAACCAAACCTCAGAAGACAGTCACAGGCAGTGAGTGGATTGTTTCACAGCTCTTCAGAATCAACTTTCTGAGGAGTGTGTGTGGCGCATTTCAAAGCAGACAGTGAGGCGGAGAAGATTGGACTGACTTGGGTGGAAGCAAAACAAAATCCCGCAGCCAAAAAAAAACACAGAAAAAGACTTAAACTTTCTTTTAACAAACTTCTACGCAATTCAAAAATATGAAATTATATCTGACACCAGGACTTCATGGCAAACAAATGCTACTGCAGGGAAACTCAGCCTGTTGCCTCCAACAATCCATTTCACTACAGCGCTTTGATGAGACCAGCTCCTTCCTATATCAATCCTACTACTTATCAATTAAATAATTTAAACAACAAGGTGTGGGGTAGAGGGTGCTGGTGGCTTCAGATTCTGTCCTTTAGGGACAGGTGCCACATGCTCAGCTTTCCTTACCCTAGAAGTGAATTAGCGTTGCAGATAATGGATTTTGTAATGGAAGTTGGTTACGGATGACAGCAGCCAAGTTCAATCAGCTTTAGCTATCAGTAATTCATGATCGCTTCTTGATATCATTTCCTCATTTAAATGATAAATACCATACATACTCCCCCTCTCTCATATATATTGCATATGTCTTTTTGCGTCCAACCTCACCCCATCTCCACCTCTGCAACTGCCCCTTGGTCACTCCTCACCCTGCAGGGGAGTTTCAGTCTCCTTGTTCTGTGGGCAGGAGGTCAGACCTAAACATTTAGTAAATCTTTCAATATGCTTAATTCCTGGGTATTGTTATTCCTTCTTACAGGAGAAGACCTCTACCTCTTGGCTCTTCAAGTCTAAAGCAGAGGTGCCCACCAGCTCCCTGTCTTGGAGCTACCCCCTCTCACATCTTACACGTCTTGTAATCTTTGAAAAAATATATTTTATTTTAATGAACGGGAACCATTTGAATTTATTGATTAGGTAATGAAGGAACTAATTCCTTAATTAGTATTCGGTGAAAAGAGCTCTTGTCCCAGAGGGCTGAACAGCTGTTTAATTTGTTCCAAAATAATATAACAAACCACCAGGTTTATTTAATCGCACTTAAGTTGTCACAGGCCTTTAGAAATTGATCATTTAGAGGCTGGGGCTGTGGCCAACAGCCCCAAGCCTGGAGATCCCTGCTCTGACACCTGACGCCTGACGCCTGACGCCTGACGCCTGACGCCTGACGCCTGTCTCACACCAGGCTTGAGTCTTGTTACCTGTTGGAAGATCAAGCCCACAAACGAAACGGGCTCTCTTTGGTGTCCTGGATCCTCGAAAAGCTGAGCATGTTTTATCCCTCTGACGAATCTCGGGTCACGTCTGGCGTGCTGACTATTCATGCCAGGCAGATCGCCACAAGGGACAGTGCGAGACTAATGGCGTCAGAGATCTCATTTGCCCAGGTGAGATGCTTGAAGCGCCAAAGATTTGTCATGGGTGATAAACCAAACTTAATTCTTCTTAATTCACTGGGAGATGTGTAAATAGGGGATTATGTTATAGGATTTGAAAATGCAGAGCTGTAACTATTAGGCTCCTACGCCACTTATTATTCAGTTCAATTAAGTCTTTGATATCAACTTCTCTGTTACACTACCCTGAATAAACAAAGTCTTTGGGAAATTATTTCTTCTAAAAGTTTAGTGTTCCTCCCTATTAATTCTTCTCCCTCATTGTGTTATTTTCAAATGTATATGGATAATTGACACTGGTTTATGCTGCTGTGGTAGGCCAAATTAAACTGACATAGAAAGGGAGTGTTTTCTCTCTCTGTCA